GGTTCATTCCAATGCATACATTACAGATGGTCATACTGATGCATACATTGGGGTGATCCTACTGCATATATTATGGAGACGGGTCATCCTGATGCATATATTAGGGAAGGGGGTCATCCTGATGCATACATTATGGGCAGTAGTCATCCAGACACACACATTACAAAGGTGGTCATACATATGCATACATTGAAGGGTGGCATCCTGATGCATGCATTATACAGTTAAGTTTGAAGATGCAAGAATTAGGAATCAAAACTTACCATAACCAACCAGGTAATAAAACTTCATAGAACCAGTATTAATGTCTCGGATTTCAGTAAGCATGCGGTATATGTGTAGAACTTCAATGAAAAGCCAGGCAAATGAACTGATATAGAAGTAATGCAGAAAAATGGCAATGATACGACACAGAATCTGGGAAATAGAATGAAAAAACAAAGTTTGCATCATATAAAAAAGAAATTGATCAACTGTAGTTAAAACATTAAAAAATAGTAGTTGTAGTAGTAGTAGTAGTAGTAGTAGTAGTAGTAATATAATATTATTATAATAATAATACCAAGCACACATGCTGAAAAATTGTGTTAACCCGAAATGCAGATTCTGTGATAAATATCCAGTAACAATATGTTGGGTTGGAAGAAAAGTGCATCATGTGTTTAAGTGAATTTCAAAAACAATATTTAGATATCTGTTTTTATTTTTGGCCTAAAAATGTTTAAAATTCAAAATCCACACATGAATAATATAGAAAAACACATTGAAATAAGACTTTTCAGAATATGTGTATGCGTGATGAAGTGAAACCATGGGTTCAAATGCCACTTATTGAAAAATGCTACAAGCTTTTATTTTATCACAATATATTGCTACTTTGCTTCATATATGCAGTGGTACAGTTTTGTATGAATGTTAACTATATTGTATTGTGCTGTATTTGCTACATTGCCTTTTGTATCCATTTATACTAGTGTCTTGAGTATTATTTCCACTTTCAGCTTGACATTTTTTCTGTTATGCTTCAGCATGATTAATAGAGTAAATATTGTGTGGTAAGTGCAACGGTTATCTGGACAGAAAATGAAATTAAGATGAGTTCAAATTCTGACCTCTGTTGCATTCACTTTCACACAAATGCCATTGAGGAGGACATGAATCTATTCCTTCTCCACCCCAGCTATGGATTAAATAACAGCATACTGGGCTCTTTAACTTTGGGTGGCAGCCAGTCTAGGAGAATGAAAACACTGAATTCAAAACTGTGGAGGTTTCCCAAGAAATAAAAAATTCAGAGATAATAAAAGAAAAAAATGTCTGAAGAGTCATGGCTACATATGACCTGTATGGACATGGCTACATATGACCTGTATGGACATGGCTACATATGACCTGTATGGACATGACATTTAAAAAAAAGAAAATGATTTATTCTGGCTATCAAAGTTTTATATATCAACTAAGTACAGTACAACTGCCTTTAGGAATTAGTTAATAGGAGTAGATAGGTTCATCTATTGTCCGATTACCACTCCTCCTCAATCTTTTGAACAGGAGCGGAGGTTTATTCTTTGTTTCCTATTTAGGACTGGGTTTCTGGTTCCTTCTGAAGTCTACTCCATTTCTATACATTTAATGCCTCTACCTGAACTCTGGAATTTTATTTATTTATTTTTCTTCTTCTCAATAAGAGCAGATAGTTTGGTTTATCGCCCAGTTCACACTCCTTTCCAGCCTTTTGAACAGGAGTAGAGGTTTATCTCTTGTTTCCTGTTTAAGATTGGATTTCTAGTTCCTTCTAAAGTCTTTTCATTCTCTTTCACTTCCAGTAACCTCTTGTATCTTAGTGACACGATTGCCTTGCTGGGAATGAATCGATTGAAAAACAATAAAATAAAAAAATAAATAAAAAGAATAAAGTACTTACCTCCGGTTTGGTACGTGCTACACCAATTAGGAAAAAAAGTTCCGAGATAAAGATAGAAAGGACAAGGTTGAGGCGGATAGAATTGCAGTTGGTGTCCAAATTCTTGAGCAGGAAGAAAATGAGGAAAGCGGTGAAGAGACAAATCATGGAAATGGTTAGGCCAATGTAGGAAATGATTTGCAGATGGACAGTCCCAGTTGCGATGTACTGAAAGACAAACAAGCAAATTTTTATCAGTTAGAAATATTATATATGTGGATGGGTGGGTGTTATTACTTATATATCTTATTATAAATTTTATTTTTATGGGTGTCTGTGTAGAAATTTTTCTCTATTTATCAGCAATGCAATTAAGGACTATTGGCCTAGATCATCAAAAATCTTGAAATAGAGTAATTTATATTTCATCTGCCTCTAAGCTTGCCAGGAATTGAACCTGCATTCTTTTTCTTTTTTTTAATTTATTTCATTTGTCTGAAAGGTACATTTTCTTTAAGACTTTTGATGATCTAGGCCAGGAGATGTTATACTCACTGTATATAAATGTACAGCGATGTCTACTCAAACTTATGTACTCACTAAAACAACATTTATAGTAATAAGAAATACTAGTAGTATAGTATCCATGAAAATTTTACAGTTTTTCTATTTGAATTTTCTGATAAATCGTAATTCTTAAGTGAATGATTGAATAAATTCTTTGTGAGTTCTACAACTATAAATACTCCATGGAATTTCTTTTATTGCTTCATTTCATATTTGATCTTAACAACTTTTACAACACAATTTACATTGTTTGAACTATCATCCTAATCTTTGTTGCCATATTTATTGCAACATTTCGGCTGTTGTACATTCTAGTTGGAATGTTGAACTGAATCCTTTATTTTGCTGGCTGGAGCAGACTGTTCTAGTTCAATGTGCGATGTCTAATGGATGTCAATTATCAGTTATCTCCTGTTAATTCCCCTCTCCAAGTTCTCCACCACCTTAACCAGGTATTGAACTCACTCTTTGGGGCCTGTCACTGGATCTAACTAACACCTTTATCCACTGTGCCATGTGTCCTTGAGGACATTGTTGTGATAAATATGGCAACAAAGATGCGGATGATGGTCTAAACAATGTAAATAGTGTACATAATACCTCATCTTAGAAATATAGACAGAAACTTCAACAACATATTTCAAAAAAAGTCATAAAGATGAATGCAGATCATTTTTTAAAGTAAGAGAGTACAAATGAAAAGACAAACTTTCACTGAAGCAGCCATTAAACACAGTGTCATCTGCATTCTCTATATTCTCTTTCATTCTTTTTCTCACTGAAACCAAACAGTGTTTCTGACATGTCTTTTCCATCTTTTGTTGTGATCAAAACAAAATTAAGCCCATGTTTTACACATTAAATACTAATCCCATAGCGATACTAAATCTTTAACTAAACCTACACACGTATCCAACTGAAATCTATCCTATACTAGCACTTTCTAAAAAGAAATTTGCTATTCTAACTATCAGGTCAATCTATAACGTTTACCTTATACTCTTATTCAAACAAAATCACACACACAAAAAAACACACCTGCATGTACGTTCCCGCATCCACACATAAATGTAAATATGCACACACACATGTAATGACACACATACATAACTTCTATCCCCCATTTACTTTAATTTACGAAACCAGTCATTACAAATTCACTCATACTAATTTATCTAGATTTCCTTCCCTGTTTTGTCATTTACCAACTAAAATAATTTGATGGTCTAATAATAATAAATAAATAATTATGCTATCTACCCAATTAAGTAACTTATACACATATTTACAATCTGATACATATTTCTCAAAATAAATCTACCCAATTTGTACTAGCATCAACTCCCTAAATTTCTAGACTATGACCCCAAATCTTGTCTGAATTCCAGCTGCTGCCACTTTTGGGTCTTTAGATTCTGGATACTGCACCCGTTCTCTCGTTCTCGTGACTTTGAATTCTTCCACGAGGCTGCTAAAGGGGAGACACAACGTGTTGCTGTTCCCATAGAAGGCCACACCACTTAAGCATCTCGGCAAACCCAGCCACCTTCTCAAATGATTACTAATCGCTCTCTCTAATGTTTCCACGGTGGTAATTGGAATATCATAGATGAGCAATGGCCACAATATCTGGAGCAAAACTGCATACTGGAAGAGCCATGCCTTAAAACGTCCTGGCAATCCAGATTTGTCGATCTTCGTCAGCCACTCCTCAAGATCTTTTATAGACTGCTGGTTTGCAGCTGTGTCCTTCAGACAGCTGTTGAAAGTCTTGCCCAAGCTCTTAACAGGCTTTTTGCTCAGAGTAGGAATTGTTTCTCCTGCGACTGTAAACCGGACTTTCTCCATGACCTTGCCTTTTTTCAATACTAATGACCTGGATTTTGCTGGCTTGAAATACATTCTAGCCCAAGTCATATTTTCCTTGAGACGCTTTAAGAGCCACCTACCTCCTGTGATAGATGTTGTTGTCATGGTTAAATTGGCGGACTCCTGATCTAGACACAGGCCCTCGGCATTCCACATCGGCTGACTTTACAAGCGTGTTCATGGTCAATGAAAATAGGACAGAAGACATTGTGCACCCAGTGATGATACCCTTTTCCAGGGTCTGCCATTCTGATACACACACACACATATATATATGTTAATAGTAGTACTTGTTTGGAAAACCTCGGATAGCTCAACTTGCTGATATGTCAGGACAAATCGGTACCCAAGGAAAAAATTGGAAATAAAAAAAGAAAGAACTAAAAACAGAACAAGACAAAACAAATTGCCAAGTGCTTTAAGTCCTTAGTCCAAAAAAAGAAAAAAACCCTGAAGATCCGTTTAGGTGAAACTTAAGTAGGTTTGCCTGTCTCCTTAGAATTTATTCTAGTATATATATATATATATATATATATATATATATATATATATATATATATATATATATACGCACATACATATATTTATATACTGAGTGCGATGGATAAATTGTCATCTAAATTACACAAAATTAAAATGATCCTGACATTTCATTTCAACAGATATATTTACCAAAATTACAAAAAAACATCTTGAGATATTAATGAGTAAATTTATTCAATAAAATCACCATTGGTGTTCAACCAGGGCCTCCTGACAACTTTGGAATCTCCTGCATCTCTTCTGGGTGATCTCCTTGTTTAAGTTGGTGAATGCTGCCATAATCCTTGCCTTCATCTTTGGGGTTACAGAGAGTTTCGTCAGTCTCTTGCTCAACAGTGCTCCACACATAATAATTAAAGGGGTTGCAGGAGAATTAGGTGGCCAGATACAAGGAGTGATGTGATCACAGAAATTGCCTGACAGCCATGACTGGGTCTCCTGATTGTGTGTCATGGTGCAGAATCCTGTTGTCAAACAAAGTTTTCCAGCAGCCACCCTCTTGAACCACGACAGCACTACTTCCTCAAGGCACTTGATATAGGCCTCTATATTGAATCTGAGGCCCTTACCAACAAATTCAGGAGTTCTTTTCTTATCATAATGATCTGAGTGAGTTTTCCAAGATGCTGTACTGTAGTATTCACCATTAGACTCCTCCAACTCTTTCCAAATCCTCTGTACTGTCCTCAGTTTGACACTCAAACACTCTGAAAACTTTGTATTGGAGCTACCAGCATGAATATCAAACAGTACAGCATGCCATTTCCAAGTTTCTGGTAGAGTAAATTGCATCATGGACGGTGCCCAACTGACCCTACTTTATTGTGCAGTCGAAAAAATGTAAAACAAACAACCCACATGCATGAAATTTACTTATTGCACTTTTTGTATAAATTAAAAAAAACATAAAACAATAAAAAAAAAATAAGAAACATTTACTTTACAGAATTCAATTTATAAAAGCAAGAAAAATTTTAGTTTTAATAAACATGCAACATTTGAAAATATATTTGTAAACACAAGTTCAGAAAATGAAGATCTTCAGTTGCAAATGTAAAAATAAAACTTGGTTATAATGTATAGTCAGAGTTTCAATGTCTCATTTTCTTGTTTGTAAATGGGTTATTTTTTTTTTTTCAAGCTGAAAATTTTTTTAAAAATCGTATTTTGCTAATTGTTATTGTCAAAGATTTTAAAATCTGTTATAAAATGCAGTTAAGGCAAGCAGCCAATAAATTTTCTAACAGGCAAGTTTAATATCCAAGAAACGCATTCTGTTTTCAAATTAAAGTTAAAAGCATGCATAAATAGAATAAAATTGTATTTTTCCTAAATCTTAAAAACGACTTGTTCCTCGGTTGCTCGGAACTAAGAGTTTTCACTGGTCTATCAGGAGAAGATCGGCGGACATTGAACTGAAAATAAAGGAATTCAGCTTATAAGGAACAGTGAGTAAATTTTGTAAATATGTCCTGAACAAAACTTGAATCTGAAAATATTAATTTTAGTTTTGACAATCTCATATTCTAAATTTATTTTCCTAAATACTATTTGGACTTTTATTCGTCCACCTGCATGACTCCAATTAGCTGAAAAAAGCCGGAATTTTCAACAGCTGAAATGTTGTGAATATGACAACAAAGATGAGAACAGTCTGGACAATGTAAATAATTACAATACATCATCTCAGAAATATAGACAGATCTGGAAGAAGGCTGAACATCATGAATATGACAATAGAGATGAGGACAACAATCCAAACAGTGTAAATAGTTACAATGCCTCATCTCAGAAATATCAACGGATCTTGAAGAAGACTGGAGTGTAGAACGGCCGAAAAATCCTGAATATTCCAATAAAGATGAGGACAACAGTCCGTACAATGTAAATACTTACAATACTTCATCTCAGAAATATAGACAGATCCTGAAGAAGGTCAGAGCATACAATGGCAGAAATGTTGTGAATATGACAATAAAGATGAGAACAACAGTCTGAACAATGTAAATAGTTACAATGCCACATCTCAGAATTATAGCAAGATTTATCAATAAGGTGAGTCACTTTAAATCATTCTTAAAAAAAAGAAACAGGGAACCACAAAAAAGATATTTTATTTGACCAAAGCACATTAAAAAAAAAAAGAAAAAAAGAATCTGTCATTCTACCAGAAAGAATCTAACATTGTCATCAAATATTAGACAACAGTAAATTTAAAGCTGCTATCATTTACTCTGTGGCAGTGTTTTCTTTGTTTGTTTTTCTATTTAATTCTAGCAGTAAGTGCTTAATATTTATCAGGAAGGTTACTGAATAGAATAATCAAACGAAGGTGGGTAAGGAACGATAATACTTAGGACAAGAACAACACATATAAGATTCATCAGTGATGTATAGAAGTAGTAGTCAACTGCTAGAAGTGAGTCAACTGAATTTCACAATGAACCTCCAACTGCAGACCAACATACAGTATTTACTACTGTATTTATGCAAATGGGGACATACCCATTACCGTCCATAGATATGCTACAACATAAACAAAAAAAAAGATTTTTTCACCCTTTTTCACCAATCAGTAAAATAGGAGAGAGAGAAAGAGGAATGTGCCTTTCCGTGAGGGCTTGTGATTAACACCATCCTATAGATGATAGAAGAGAACTTTGAGATAACTAGTTAGACTTTTTTTTGGAGGGTGGGACACAATATCAGAAGAATAGAACATCTTTAATTAAAATTAAGGCAGGTAAATTATAAATCGAAATTTCTTATAAAGGCTTCAAAACCCTTTTTGATTGTAAATAGTTGGAACATGCTAATATTTTTTATATAGAAAATGAATTCAGAAAAATAAATTTTTAAAGTCAGATAAAAGTTTGTCTGAGCCTGAAAATTAATTATTCCATATAAAATTATTGAAGGTGATTTAACTTGGGATTTCTATAAAAGTCAAATTAAACTGGCTTATTTGTATTTATTTTTAAAAACAATATTTGAGTCTTTTCAATTTATCTGAAACATTTCAATGGTGTTTTTATTATGCTAATAACTATAAATGATAATGTTAAAAATAAAAAAAGAAAAACAAAACATTTTGGCTTAAAATTTTGTGGAATGGTTAAAGTTCATTTCTCGGATGGTTCCAGGACGATGGTGAAAAAAAGCTAGTCCTGAGCCCTGTGGGTTGCACACAAACAAGAAAGAATCTTTGATTACCTCTACACTGGTCATGTCCATTAAGACTGCATAGGTGCTGAGATGGGAACAGGAGCAAGTCACATAATTCTCGCCCCTGAGTTCATAGCGATTAGTCATGACACAGCCATTTCTTGACCAATGTCCAGCAGTGCTACAAATAAACAAAATAAATAAATTTGAATAAAAAATAAAATAAAAAAGAAATATAAACAAAAAATAAAATTAAAAAATAAATTAAAAAATAAAATAAAATATAAGATAAAAATAACAATAAATAAAAAATAAAATAAATAATAAATAAAAATAAAATAAAAATAAAATACATAAAACTTTGAATAAATAAAAATGATAAATAAAATGATAAAAATAAATAAATGAAAAATAAAATAAAATATGAATAAATATAAATAAAAGAAATAAAAATATAATAAAAAATAAGATAAAAAAAATTAAAATTTTTAAGATTTTCTAACATATAAAAACATCATTTCTATTCATGCTGAGAGGGTATAGTTTATGAAACAAGACTTTCTTTTATTCTCCTTCTTCTGAATTAAGTCAATAACACCCTGCAGGTATGTGCAATGACAAAATCTTAGAGAAAATGGAGACAAGAGGACACTTATACTTAATATAAGAGATATTTGAAATTTCTAGGGAACATAATGAGGAAAGAGAGCTTAGAAAATTTAATACCCACAGGACATTGATATGAAGGTAAAAGGAACAGCACCTTACCTAAAAAGTTTTTGTTGAACCTTGGAAGAACAGGGTTTAGGAAAGATAACAAAAAAGACTTTACCAAGATCTACAAGGGACAGGAAGTTGTGAAGAAGCATGATGGGACATGGCACATAGAAGAAGACTCTGCTTTTTCACAGAATTGGTCTTTTTATTTCTTGGCTTTGTAAACATTTTATAACTATATGCTAATATAAGACACTGTCACCTGGCATCACCAGTAAAATAAAGATATCTCTACTACAGATTATGGACATTACAGGCAAAAAGCTTACAAACAGACTTAGTTTATAATATATATATATATATATATATATATATATATATATAAAAGACCCCAATGACAGAATAGACAAAGATCTACATGATCCCAATGGCCAAACCAGTGAAAGAGGACAGCATCAGCTGGGCTAGCGTAACCAAGATGGACCTTGACAGAGCAAGCATTCGACAGCTCAATGCAACCAGGTTTACCAGATCTCTCTTGTCTCAATCCCCTTTAGCCATGAGGAAGGCGCTTCTGGCCAAATGTGTGGGCTTCTCCATTGTGCAGAGTTGTCCACCAAAATCAAAATCACACGAATGGCCCCATCAAACTCTCTTTGATTCACAGTCACCTCTACCACTGCCACCAGGGGAGAGAAAGGGAATAGAGAAAGAGGATGACATTCCTGATGATTGGAGGTAAGTGGGTGTCGACAACAACGAACATAATATATAATGTAGATTAAAATGGAGTTATAATGATCTATGAAATCTAAGTAAACATAGCAAAATAAGACCAGGGAAGATATTTTCAGCCATTGGAGGAATGTGGAGGGGGAACTTATATGCATTCAAATGTGGTGGATGTTAGCTAATATTACACATTCAATTGAGAGACAAATAAAGAGAAACTGTAAAGATAGAAAAGGATACGAACCCTTCGTGATTAAGGGACAGCCAATAGACACACTGTGGGCTGCTACGATTGTGGCTGGTCAGTTGTTTGAATGTGATGTTGATTGGCTCAGATGTTTGGCCTTTGATATGATGCTTCCTGTTCTGCAGAATGAGACTGATCACAGGTGTGCCAACTGTCATTGACCGATCAGGAATATTCCTGGAAAAAAAGAACAAAGATAAAACATACATTAAACAATTGGTTTTCAACCAGGGTCTATACAAAAAAAATAGCAAATTTGGTGCCCACAATAATATTTAGTGGTCCAGAGAGCAATTTCACTTTGGAACGGTTCTTATAACTGAGAATTACAGTAATCTACACCATATTAAAATACTAAAAATAGAAAAACAATTCTAAAACTAGCAGAAAATGAGATCATGTGATGTAATTTAGCATCCCTTTTATTCTACTGGATGTTTCCATTGTAAAAGTTGAATAAAAACTGAGAAGGATATATAAAGGAAGGATAATATATATATATATATATATATATAAATAAAAAGGAAAATTTTACAAAGATTATAATTTATTATATAAATTAATTTTATATATTAATAATAATATTAATCTTAAATATTAATAAAATATTAATATAAATTAATTAATACAGTAATAGCCTCAACATTGTGAAAAAGGGATGATCTTCGACTATCATGGTCACTGACGGAGTTGAATAGAAAACTCACAGAGCAGCATCAACCACAGGGATCCCATTGAATAAATTTGCACTTTTTTTAACTTATTAATTACTCTCATGTTTTAAAATGGTTTATTATGAGTTATTTTACTAGAGTACATAAATGTTCCATAAAGTTTAGTTGTTAAATACAAGTTTATTTTCATTAAATTAGTTTTACTTCAAAATAAAGAATATATATTCACTATTTCTATCATACAATTCCTAAACTTATCTATTAGTAAAAAATAAAATAATATTTTTTTTCATCAAATGGTTATGGGGGATCACCAAAAGAATTTAAGAGTAAAAGTGGCTCATGGGTAAAAAAAAGGTTGAGAGCCACTGTTATAGAGTGATGTTTAATAATTGTTTTAAATCCCTGTGTTTACAAGTCTTTTGGCATTACAATCAGTTTGATGATAACTGAAAATGAATTTTATCATGAAATTGACTGTAATGCCAATGAGAATGTAAAGACCAGGATTTTAAACATGTCTGAAAGCTTTTAAATAAATAATAATATTAATTTTAAATATTAATAAAATAAAACATTAATATATAAATTAATTAATATAAAATATTAAAAAAAATAAAATATTAATAATGAAATTAATTTAATATATAAAATATATATGGATTATATATAAAAGAAGGATTAACAGCATTAACCTCTTCAGCAGCAAAGGCTATTTCCAGCAAAACCATCCACTCTCAGGGCCTATATATGTACTAGTGTACATAAACGTCCCATAAAATTTAGTTGTTAAATACAAGTTATTTCCATTAAATTAGTTTTACTTCAAAATAAAGCACATACATTTACTATTTCTATCATACAATTCCTAAAATTATCTATTAGTAAAAAATAAAATAAGTTTTTTTTTTTCATCAAATGGTTAGTGGGTTGGGTCCACCAAAAAAAAATGAGAATAAAAGTGGTCCATGGGTAAAAAAAAATGTTGAGAACCATTGCTTTAAACAAGCACCATGTAGTAAAGTTCCTTCCCCATGGCTTTTTTTTAAATAAATACTTTAATAGTACACCTTCACTTCAGTCTTTATGAATTTAAGTGCAGTATTAGATTAGCAGATGTGGATTGATGTGTAATGGATATTGGCTCAGAATGAGAAATTGGAGAACCAAGTTCAAATTCCAGTTGAATTCATTACATTCACTTGCACACAAATACCCTTGCGAAAGGTATGAGTCCATCTCTTCTCCCTCCAGCTATGGGTTGAACAGCAGGACACACTGAGTCCTATAGCCTTGGTTGGCAACTGGTCAACCACAGAAAGAAATGGCAACCTACTGCATGAAAATATTCTATCTTGTCAGTCATGAATCAAAAGAGACATGATCACCCAAATGTGTATCACATATGGCACTTAACTTCAAAAATTTAAATGCAATAATTTCAAGTTTTTTTCATGTTTTTTTTTAAAAAATTTATCTTTTATTTTTTTCTGTTTTCCTTTCCTTGTTTACCTTGCTGATGTACAAGCTTGCCAACTTGGCATTCACTCATAATTCTAGGGATGCCTCACCCCCCCCACACACACACACCTTAATATACAAGAATGTTAGTTAAACATCACATGGTGAAAAAATGCTGGGGGCCAAAAATCAACACTGAAAATAATCAATTCTGTAGGTACATCCTGAGAAATATCTTAACTTGAAGTAAAATGCAGGACTTTTTTTAATTCTTTTTTATTCTTTCAGAGATAAGTTTTTGCCATTTTTAATTCTTGTTTGAATTTGCCATTCAATTTTTTTTCTTTCTAATTGATGTTCTCAGTAGAATTTTAGTGTTTAAATTTTAGTTTAAATTTCAAGTTTGAATCCTTTATGTTTTGGGTTACAAGTAAACTTAATAATTAATAGGCATCATGTTTTATCTTTTATTTTTTTCCATTTTCCTTTTCTGTTCAACCTGCTGATATACAAGCTCACTAATAGGGCATTCATGTATGTTTTCCAAGGTGGGAAGCTTAGGATTTATACTAAGTTAAAATTTTATAAGTATCACACATCCTTCTTAATCTTTTCCCTGCCCCCTTGGTAATCGGATTCTAATGAATTCTCTGAACAACTGTCAATTCCTGCCTTGTGTCTGTGACAGGAGTAATTACATTTTAATCCTAAACTGTTTTTTCTCTCTCTCAAGTAGAATAATTAACCTCCCTCTGTATGCACTCATCCTAATAACTATACTCCTGATACTAAATCAAATCAGAGTAGCGGATGCACATGCAACCCCCCTAGCAAACTTTGTCAACACCCCCGCCCCCCAAAACAAACACACACACTCTTCAGTCAATGGGACCTTTTAGTCCTCATATTTATGAGCAAACTTGCCTTGGTACCCTAGGTCTCTGACTGGTACAATCTTTCTGACCTCTAGCTCTAGACGGATGAGACACACACACTTGGAGTATCATGCCTGAATCTTTCCTGGTTTATTTTCCCTCTCATTAGGGGTGCTCAATGTAAACTTTTTGGGGTTTTAGCATTATTCACCTGATAGTCAGAGATCTGAACTTTAAAGGAGACTATCCTATCAGCAGGTGTATAATATCGAGTCTATTGTACTGCCATTTTGTGAATTATTTCTGGACCATGAGTTAGTCTCCTGTGGGGTCTCTCAATGCTATGGTGATCGGTAGTGTTACAGCAGTATCTCTGAGCAAGTCAACCCAAGTTACTTATGTGTGCATCTCCAATGGGTGTCTGTTTCACTGCCTACTAATCATCCATCAAACTAACCAAAACAAACATGAAAGTAATCAAAGTAAAAACAAACAAAACTAGCAAACCCAACCTCAAAAAAAAAAAAAAAAAAAAAAAAAAAAGAAAAGTAGACCCTACTTATACAATCTCTTACACCAATGTAAGACATCCTCATGTTATCCTCTACCTTTATAAGAGCCAGATCAGGCCAAAAAGGGAGTACCATTGTCATATTTGGGCAGAAACTTCCCAGACATAACTTTCCAGTCTTGAGATAGTTCAAAAGCATCTCCGAGTCCTTGTGGGAGAAGAATTATTTTTCACCCTCCAACCTCTCTCTCTCACAGGTGGGATGTGGTGAATCTCTAACTGCTCTATTGTTACTACCATGGAAAGTGCTCAGACAAACTGCATCTCCTTGTTCTACTAGGCCCGACATTCATGGCTAGGACAAGCCATGCCACTTACATAGTAGCAAACCACCCACATTCCCCACCCCCGTATTCCATCGGCGAGAATTTCTCTCAAGTAGCTTCTTCTTGCAAACCCCAGCCCTATGGAACAGATTCCCTAGAGGATGTTTCCTTGATCACTACAATCTTAACCTGCTCTAGCCTAGAGACAACCGTTATCTTCCCCTCCTATCCATATAAACTCCCCCTTAACATAACCCTCTACCTCAAGTGACCCCTGAGCCTTGTACTGTAAAAAAAAAAAAAAAATGTCAATCATTATCTACTGTCTTTCTGATTACTCTTGTATTGGTCTTGCTCCTTGATAACATTTCTATTTTCTAATTCTTTCCCACTTAGTAACCACTTGTGTCTTAGTGGCTTTACTGCTTTGCATGGCATGAATTTGATTAAAGAAAAAAAAGGTATACACTTGACGATCGACAGAACCAATGAAAACAAAAGAGGCATAGAATTTACAAACATATTAAGATCATAAAATAAATACTCGCTCTGGTTACCTAGATGGGGGTGAACTTTGGTCCCACCCAAGAACTGTTCAAAGCAAGGAGGTTCCACAGTAGGCAAAAAATCAGGGTCAATTTTACTGGCTTGGTTTTGCAGGTATTGAATGATACAAGCCATTTTTCCTCCCTTGAGCTGTTAGAACAGAAATCAGCTGTCAGACTCTGGTCGTATAGACTTTTGGGGGTGCAACTATAACACTCTGTGCTATAATCAGTATAGATATTTATTAATAATATGCCTAAGTTCTTATGTGGATTGTTAATATAAAGCAGAAAGAAGTGAGCTTTGGTTGATGCTTGTATAGATCTCATGGACTTCAGAAGATTGGTCAGTATTAATATAATTAGTATTAAAATAAGATTCTACTGGATATAAAACGAGGGACCAGTTTTCTATTGTTATTATCATGTCAACACAATCAATGAAAACAAAACAACATAGAAGTTAAAAATTGATATATCTTTCCATTTTTCCATTTTTAAAAACTTCTAATGTGGTGTGAGATATAAGAAGATATGCTTTCAGGTTCTTACAACATTTCACCTTTCTGGGCAGATCTTCTATTATCACAATGTGGGAGATTTAACAAAAAAAAGTGATAAGAACATAAAGAAAAAGAAACTAAATGAAATCAAGTAGACTACATACCCAAACATACATATATTAAAAAAAATAAATTCATTCTTTCATGCACTTAAAGGAAGATCTTTATGAATTTAGGGGCAGTACTAGATTGGTAGTTTGGTCTCCTCATTTTATAGTTGAACTGGCTAGATGTAACCATAAATTCTATGTTAATAGTTTCTTCTCTTGCACTTCTCACTTCTGGCTTCTTGCTTTTCAATCAACTTTGATCTCCATAAATTTAAATGAAATGTCAATCATTATCTCCTTTATTCTTAATTCCTGTTCTTTTATTGGTCTCTCTCTACTTAATAGTGATTTAACACCCAGCAATCCCCTTATGTCTTAGTGGCTTTAGTTTCTTGCTTGGGGTGAAATGATCAAAAAGAAAAGTGTAGTTGCATCAATATAAACATTACTTTAGTCCTGATGAAGTCCTAAAGGATGAAATGTGTCATATGAAAACTTTTTCCACTTTGTCATACATAGATTTCCCTAAATGGTTTTCAACATTCTCAGATATATCAACATAGTATAAGACCCACACAGAAATTAATTACCATTATTTGACTGAACAGGAAAAATGTGTAGACAAAATAATCCATTAATAAGAGTAGATAGGTACACCTATCATCCAGTTCACACTCCTCCCTAATCTTTTGAACAGGAGTAAAAGTTTATCCCTTGTTTACTGTTCCTTATAAAGTCTACTTCAACTCTATACTTCTGATGTCACCACCTGAACTCTGAAATTTTATTAATTATTTATTTATTTTTATTTATTTATTTTTTCTCAATAGGAGTAGATAAGTTTGCCTATCATCTGGTTCACACTCCTCCTTCATATGTTGAACAAAAGTATAGGTTTATCCCTTGTTTCATGTTTAGGATTGGGTTTCTGGTTCCTTCTAAAGTCTTTTTCATTCTCTTTCACTTCCAATAGCCCTTGCATCTTAGTGGCATTATCACCTTGCTTTGGGTGAAAAGATTTAAAAAAAAAAAGACAAAAGATAAAAGGAAAAATGTTTGAAACTTCTGTTTAGGATTGGGTTTCTGGCTCCTTCTAAAGTCTTTTTCATTCTCTTTCACTCCCAGTAGACCTTGTGTTTTAATGGCATTATTGCCTTGCTTGGGGTGAATTGATTAAAAAAAACAAAAAACAAAGTATATTCCATATCTGTCTATATCTCTGAGATGAGGTATTATGATTACTTGCATTATTTACATTATTCGGACTGTTATCCTCATCTTTATTGCCACATTCACAATGTTTTGGCAATGAAGATGAGGATAGCAGTCCGAATAATGTAAATAATGTAAGTAAACTATATTCTAGGTGTATCATTTAAAAGGTGAATGAACTCTCATTAAGTTCCCATTTTCTATATTATAAATTCAGGATTGCTGTAATGGTTTGCAGTGAGCCGAGTTCATAACATTCACTTTCACACAAATACCCTTGGGAAATGCATGAATCCATCTGTCCTCCCAACTATGGATTAAATAGCAGAGCAGACTAGGCTCTCCAGCCATTGTTGGCAACCAGTCTAGGAGAATGACTACACAGATTTAAAAAATCATATGTAGTAGCACATCCTATGTAGCTATCAACAAATCATGGAGTTCAACTGTAGTTGACCTACAACTGCATTCATATTCCATCATTATCGTGTATTATCATTATTATTATCATATTTTCAGGCCCTTCTGAAATCTCCTGAAGAGTGGACTGAATAATTATAAGAAATTTCATCCTCAAAACTCTGGGGTTGAGGTGCTGAATATAACATCAATCAGCAAAGTGACAAATTTTATATTTGTATTAATCCTATTAATGCTCAACCTGCGATATCAAGCACTTTATCGCAAAGACTGCTTACCTCAAATGTCCTTTCTTACAGGCTTCTACTATCTTTGTCTTTGTTATCAGTATATATTATGAAATGGATTAAGTCCAACAATTATTTAATATATTTTCACTTTATGAAATTTTTATAGATATAATTTATTTAAGTAAATGAGCTGTCTTTTAATTAAACAGTATTAATTACATTTTCCGCCCTGAATGTTCAAGAAATTTCATAGAAAATATGCATTCTCCAACAGTAATTGAAGCTGTAACCCTCATGGGAACTACCATTTGATCTGACTTACTGTTAACCATTCAGCCACAGAGAAGCTTCTGGTTAGCAAAGTCCGAATTACTGTTTATAAACACACACCTTCAATGATTTTTGTTGATCGATTATTTCTGCTCATAAAACATATCTTAACATATACAATGACAACATATTATGAAATGGATTAATTCTGACAACTATTTAATATATTTTCTGTTTTTTTATAGATATAATTTATTTAAGTAAATACTACATTTTTTAATTAAACAGTATTAATTACATTTACTGTCCTAAATGTTTGAGAAATTTCATAGAAAATATGCACTCTTTGACAGAAATCTAATGGGAACTTTCATTTGATCTGATGTGCTGTTAACCATTCAGCCACATTCTACTCAAAGTTTTTTTCACATTGTGGACTACTTTCCTCCATGGTGAAAAATCTAGAGCAAAGTGGGTCTTCTGCTTTGTGCTCTTGATGCAATCTTTATACCTAAATTTCAGAGTCCTGGGTATGATGATAAACTACATCCAACAGCAAAACTTCTGATTAGGAGATTGGAGGTTTTGAGGAGCATGGAACCACATCTTAATTGCTGTTGTTCCCAGCTCCACCTTCACCTAGAGTGGTAGCACCTGTTAGGGTTCCAGCTATGGGCAAATAGTGAGTCCTGTCTCCAAAAAAACAAAAAAAATGCAAAACACTATGAAAGTATAAAAATACATTTTTATAGTAAAATTAGCAGCAATACATATTTATAGTAAATTAAACCAACAATAGATTTTATAGCAAAATGACCAACAATACATTTATCTGTAGATGAAGGTGTGCAATTATGTTCAAAATTTTTATATTTTGGCATTGAATAACCTAGAAAGGTTGATATGCCACTAAAAAAATCAACCAAACCTCAATTTCAGCACCCACACTCTCTTTCTAATGTTTCAAAAGTCATGGGAGTAGTATGTAATGGTAGGTAGCACCACCATATTTTGAGATTGTTGGCATAACCCACAAAGAGTTGATAAACCATAAAAAAGAATCATAAATAATAATCATAAAAAATAATCTCTTTGTGTTTGGGCCAAAAACTTTCTGCACTGCCCCTGTTAAGTTTCTATTGTAATTACAATATAAGTCAAATACTTACCTGACAGTTTCATCATAATGGTGAGGTAACACTTTCCCCAATGTTTGATATATCATATAGCCAACAATTCCTTTAGGCGTTGGTGTAAGGGGTGGTGACTTCACTTCTGAAAGAGGGACAGAGGAAAACAAAAATATAGAACCAGTTTATTTGTAAGCATTAAAACTTTAGACTTTCCAACTTCATAGGAAAAGATATAAGATTAGGTGCATTCATAAAAGATAAAACTTTGAAATATGCACATGTAGATAATCAATATCTGTACTGAGGATGGTGTGAATAAACATTGAAATATTACAAAGTACAATGCATTTAAATTTCTCTTTTCTGTTCAGACAGCCAATTTATCTCAGTTTATTATTACCTAATCTTGTTGTTTCAATATTTATCTCACCCTTTCCTATTTATCTATCCCAATTTCTTCCATATCTATTTTTGGTTTGTCTCTATTTATCTAGCTAGCTGCAATGTATATATATATATATATATATATATATACAAGCATTAAGATAAACACCCAGTGTCGACAGTCTGTTTCAGGCCTGAAGATTGCATTTAAGCATGAAACAGACTATCGCCACTGGGTGTCAACCTCAGTGTCCACTTTTATATTTACATACACTCTATCCCTGATATTGAGTACTTTTACCCATAAATATAGCATATCTTAAAACTATATATATATATATATATATATATATATGACAAATGGAAAACATTTCATTGAAACTAGATTTGATTACGCATTTTGCCTTTCTAAACTTCATCAGATACAAAAATGAAAGAAAGAAATATGTATATGCTTAAATAATGAATCATTAGTACTTTTTCCTAAGCATTGTGATGAAAGAAAAGTATGAAATGGCTGACTTTTTACAAAAAGCTGTTCTGTATCTTTTCTTTATAGTTCTTAGTTTATGTTGAAAGTTATTAATATATACTCTCAGCTTTTATATTTGTCAAATTTCTCCAAAACTTTGTCAGGATTCTCTATATTATTTTACACACACAGAGTAATGTCATCCACATACAGGCCTGTTTTGCTGGATCACAGTTCATCAGTGCGGCTAGTCATCCAACTGCTTCAAGCCAGGATCAAAACCCGACCAATTTGGCATCAGTTAGATTTTCTACTCCTGAGCTATCAGTGCATGGCAGAGGGAAATTCTAGTGTATTATTTTTTACAAATGTAAACAAATGCCAGACAGCCATAGTGCACGATTCATTTTTAATGAAGAGTGTTGAGTTAGCGGGGATGGCTGCTGTTTAGAATTACCCTCTCTCTCAACAGTGCTCAACCGAAATTGTTCGAGATATATAAAGTTGTTTAGGCAATGGAGTAAACTCATCCTTCAGGTTTTAGCTTACTGATTTGTTTAGTGTTGACCAAGTCTTTTATTGTTTTGGATATAGTAATAACAACTTTCAAAATTAGTAAGCAGGATAATATTTTTTTTTTTTTTTGATTCATTGGGTTTCTCATGAAGGGCCGTTTTTTTGTTTTGGAATATTTTATGAGCCTTTTGTTTCGCATTGAATATAAAATTATTAGGATACTAGAGAAGTTTGAAAGTTGTTTCAATGTATTTCTCCCCTTAATGTAAATAATCCAAGCTGCATATTCTTAGAGCTAAGACTACACATGTGCACAACAAAGAGGTGCTGGGAATTTTAGATTTTTTTTCTTTTTTATCAGTCAAATTCATTTAGTCTTTTTCTTCTGATCACTTTTTTGTTGTTATGAGGGGAATAACAAGAAAAATGTGATAGAAAGAAAAAGAAAATTTTGTTGTTATAAGGGGAATAGCAAGAAAAATGTGATGGAAATAAAAAGAAAATTTTGTTGTTATGAGGGGAATAAAAAGAAAAATTTGATGAAAAGAAAAAGAATACATATACATATATATATATATATATATATATATATATATATATATATATATATATATATATATCAGTGGTGAAGTGTGATTTTGAAAATAGGTTATGGAGTCTATGATGACAAATAATTTTGATGAGAGAAATCTGAGAAAGTAACAAGATCAACAAATGGCATACTTGAAATGTATTTATTTATAAATTTGACTCAATTCTTTGTTTTGTTTTGGGGAATTTATTGTGATTATTTTGTTGTAGAAAAATATCATCACCATGCTACTCTATTTTCATCTTCTTCAAAAGGCTTTCATTCTTAGAAATAAAATCAAAATTATTCTATCTTCACTTTGAAAAGAAGCAGCAGCTAAATTTATTGCTTCTTATTTCTTTTGTTGTTCACTTAACGCTAACTCTTCAATTATTCTCTGAGCCTGTGCATAGAACTATATACAAAAGCAGAGGCCTTCTCTGCTTACACCAAGAACTTGGCCTGAAGATCACATGAAACAGAGTCATCATACAGTGTTGATTTCTACATCTGCACTCTCTCAATATATGCAGGTTTCATTAAACATAGCAAACCAAGGATATTTTGTAAGTTTTTTATTCAATTTTTATGTGTCATTACAATTATTTTATTTTTTTAAAAATCAATTCACCCCCAAGTAAGACAATAGTACCACAAAGATGAAAGGGGGCTACTAGGGGTGAAAGAGAATGAAAAGGGTTTAGAAGGAACAGGAAACCAAATTCTAAACAAGAAACAAAGGATAAATCTCTACTCCTGTTCAAAAGACTGGGGAGGAACCTATTTCATGTGTGTGTGTGTATGCAATATAGTTTCATGGAGAACTACTCCTCGACCTCCATTAATGTAGTATGTTCCCCCCTTTAGCTGTGTTCTCATTTTCCAGCAGGTTGTAGCAAAACACAAAGCCTATTTGGTCTAGGAGATTCCAACTTAGTGGCAGCACTGCCATCTGAAAAGAGGGAGAGTCAGAGTATTCTGACATCTGTGAGACATTATTTAAGGAAACTGGGTAATTTTTATCCTTGTCCACATGTATGTGTGTGGATATTCCAGATCAAATTGACCACAGGCCACACCCTACTCTCATGGGAAGACAAGTAAATATTGGTTTCACAGAAATGTATGAACGAGCACAGATTTGCATATGTTAATCAAATGTGTTGATGTGACTGTGACGAGCATAGGATCTGTTATCCATTTCTGTATGGAGTTTAAGCTTCTAGATAAACAAAGATTCCTTGTAATTGTGAAAATTAATCTCTCTTCAAAATAGATAAAGTATTAGCCGAAATCATTCAGGACAATTTATCAACAAACATAAACTTCAAGAAAAAATTTTTTAAGGACACAAGTAAAAGTGAAGCAAAAAAAAAAAAAAAACTTAAAAAATATCTCTTGTCTGTTATATTTAATGAAACATGCATAAAAAAATTCCTGCCCAAATAGTGTGTGTGTGTGTGTGTGTGTGTATGTGTGTTTGCAATGGATAATCCCTGTTGCAGATACCTGCTCAGGTACATTTGTGCTTGTTCAACACCCACAGAGCCAATCTATTGTTTATACTGCAATTTTTCTGAGCAGACATTAGTTATGGTTTCTGCAAAAGAACATATAATTTGGCCTGATCTGTTGTTGAACAAGGCCAGTGCACTACAATCCTTGGTCATTATTTGTGCTTTCCTGTTAGCACAACCACTGACATAGGTTCTGGTGCGTGAGCACACACAGAACCCTGGGTCATGATGACTTGTGATTTTGTGCTAGTACAACAATTGATGGCTTCCAAACATTCCCTCTACACAATTTCGCTCATAAAGCCTGGGTCAGCCTGATGTCGAGTTTTCAGGGATTTTCCAATGGTGCTGCACACTGGAATCATTTCTGCAGGCTGGTATTATCTACTTGACATAATGAAATTCAGACCCATATTTAAACACTAACATTCTAATAGTCATTCAGCTATGCATCCATATATCAATTTATTCCTACCTAATCAATCTAGTTCTACCAATTCAATCTATTTGAACATAGCATTCTCAATGTATTCCTATTTCTCTATCTCTCCACTCCATTTGTGCATCCATCCATTGAAATCTAGTTCTACCTCTGTTTATGTAAGTACAAAGATACAATGACAAATTATCTCCCTTACCTATACTTCTCTCAGTGACCAGAAGTGAGCGCGGTATCTGGATGTACGTGTCTTTGTCAAACATGTCACTGCTAGGTACGATGTTGTCATATTTAGGAATCTCTATAGCACTTAGGTTTCTCATGTCTATGGAATCGATTGCAAGAACTGAAAAGAATAAAAAAACAATTTAGAAAAAACTGTCAGATATGAATCAGAAGACATTTCAAAGAGTGAAGCTCAGAGTTAGCAGGAATATTAGCAACAAGAAATATTTTTAAACATAATCTCCTTCCTTGTTAATGCACTTAATTCATTGTTAAATATGCAGCTACACAAAAAATCTCTATCCCAGTGATGATAAAAACATTAATTTTAAACAAGAAATATTTTTAAACATATTTTTATTTTTGTGTTGTTTGATTTTCATTGGTTGATCAATTAATAAAAGTCAAAAATATTTAGACAGATAAACATTTCCTATTTCTTGTTTATCCTATCATTCTATTGGATTTTGATCTGTATTTGATCTCAAATCATATACAGGGTGTAATGGGTAAATTGTTGCCATTTTATGTTTTTCAGTTCATACATGCACATTGTTTTTTTTATTTTGGTGACTGCACAGTATAGTATGATCAGTTGGTCACTGTCTGTGAGAAAAAGAGCACCATGATGCAATTCACTCTAGCAGAAATTTAGAAACATTTCTAAATTTCTGCTAGAGTGAATTGCATGATTGTTAATCATCAAACTCAAGGTAAGATAACGCATCCTTTCAAAGCATCAAAAAATTAACAGACTCCAAAAGCCTAACTGAAAAAAATGTAAGTATTGCTTTATGTTTGTGAATTTATCATAATTCTAGTTTGTCTCTGTGGGATTAAGATAATAATATTCATATAAATATCAATAATATTCATATTAGTATTAATAATATACATATTGGTGTTTTTGATGTGTGTTTATAGTTGGTAAAATATTCATCAGGACTGCCTTGAAGGATTTTCCGCATAAAAAATTGTTTTTTTTTTAATTAGGGTGGCATTTGTAAAATCAAAGTTATGGCCAGTTTTTTTTTCTGTGTATTACACGAGTTTAAAGGGTTGTCCTAACATAGATCCCTTTTATGCTCATTGACACAGGCTTTTAGATTTTGAGTTGTCTTGCCAATGTAAGTTTTTTACATTGCAAGGTATTTAATAAATCCAGCATCTGCAGTTATGTTGGATTTTTTTTTTCCTAATTATATCTCTAATTGTCTTGGAGGTGCTGGTAAATTCCCAAGAGTTAATTTATTTTCAAATTTTGAAGATAGAGTGTTAGAGGCTAGGATTAAGAATTTTGTGTTGTTGAAGTTAGAAGTGCTCTCAGCATTGTCTAATTTTTTGAATTTGTAGATTTGTATGCATGTAACACATGTGCATATATATGGAGTGTAACAGCAAAATTGTCCAGAACTTGTCACAGCATGGGATAATTGTCCATCTCACAAAATGTTTAATATCTAAAAAAAATACTAAACTAATTGAATTTCTTTTTTCCAGGTTTTCAGATAAGACATTTAGCCATCTTGACACCATTTTTTGTAAGAGTCACTGAAAAAAAACCCTTTGAGTTATTCAGCTAGAAAGAGAACAGGTTAAAATCATTTTGTGTCAGCCCCACTGTCTTATCAACTGAGGAATGGTGAGAGGAATAAGATCATTCAGGCCTTCAGTAATGTTATCAACATTCATACTCTGGCTTCCATCAAGAGAATGGTGAATAAGTTTAAAAAAGAAGGAACAGTAGAGAAGAAATCTGGATCAGGAGGTCACAACAGGAAGTTGGATCATTATTTCAACTTAGAGCTAAATACATTCTTATTGTTCAAAGTATAGTGCCAATAGTGTTATAAAAACTTCAGAAAATTCCAGTAAGATATCTTTAATCATTTCTAAAATGCAACGGTTCAAAGCTTAATCTAACAAATGGACAATATTGCTGATACATCCAATATATTGTGATTTCCCATTCTGAACCATTAACCATTACACCATCCACATATCCAAGCAATTCCCAAAGCAATCACCTATCTAGATACTGACCAGGCACCATGCTGCTTAACTTCAGTGATTATACAAGAACTGGTATTTCAACCTGATATGGTCATAAGCCATTGATAAACCTTGCTAGTGTAGACAATTGGAACAGCATGATAACAACATTTGTTTCTATGGCTGAAATCAACTCATTTGCACAGTTCATAGTCTATCAGTGTTCCTACCCTATCATGCTTTTTATATACTGTCTTGCTGGATTCGAAGGATTTGTTTTACCATTTAATATGATTTACCATAGCCTTACATGATTTTAATATATACAACTTACCAATGTTGTTGGAAACAACCTGGAAAGGCCACGACTGAGACAAGGCCATGCTGGTTGCCAGAGTGTGCATATATTTCTCATAGAGCATTGTCAGTGCCATTGCTCCGCCATTTTTGTTCAAATAATTCCACTCTGACCTGTACTTTTGATTGTAGGTGTAACTCAGGGCCATCAGCATGTTCTACAGGAGACAAAAAATAAATATTATACAACAGTTATTAATACGTAATGATTTTGCAATGAAAGTTTCACGTTCACTTAGGCTTTTTGGGATATTAAAAATACCTAAAAAAAATGTTTTTAAAAATTAGACTCCAAGTTTACATTTGGATTTAATGGACTTTTGGCATTTAGAAGTAACAATTTCCAAGCATTAGTTCAAGAAATCAGGAATTGGGACTAATTAAATTAACTGATCAGAAGGAATTTTTTTTGTATATTAGCATTCATTAGATCTTCATCAAGCCCCAACATTTTGTCTTTGAAGACATTGGTCCTGTTTATAATATAAATACAGTCATAAATTGATTCTTAACAAATAAAGAGTTATCAGTACTTTGACTTCAATTACAAATGTCAAGTTTGAAACTGCTTATGTCACTAATATCTGTGTACAACTCATATCCTTTTCCAATGACATAAGCAGTTTCAAACTTGATATTTTTTTTATTTACAACAATGTTCACTTTGTACAAGACCCAAGAGCTACTTGGGGTAGATGGTTACAAAGTAAGAAGTAAGAGGCACAGTTTATGAAGATATGTGGAGAACATAACTGTTAACCTTTGATGTTAAGAATTGTAACAGTTGGGGAAACATTGTCAGTTCCATAAAGTAGTGGTTCATGGGAAGAAGCTGTTTGAATGGAACTGAAGAGAATAAGGGTGGTTCACTAGAATGTGCATAGTATGGCAGGTCTGAACCATGAAATTTAGAACTGGTGGAAATATGAAATGTAGATTATATATGTTGCAGGGTGAAAAATAATTCATGACCCAAAAGGCCACTTTAGTAACTAACTCTTTATGAAGTCAGAGATTTGTTTGATAATATATATATATATATATATATATATATATATATATATATATATATATATATATATATATATATATATATATATATAATAAAAAAAAAAGAACAGTAAGATATATAATCTGGTGTTCTTATTGATATTTTTATTTTTACAAACCAGTGTTCAATGTAAATTTACAGAGCACAAATATTATAAATTAACTGATTTAAAATATGGTTTTTTTCACTACACAGGAATTACCATGTTTCAAAAACCGAAGGTAAAATCTTCAAATTTAATTATATAATTAAATTAAAAGCATTAGAATTCGCTTGAAGATGAAACAGAACTAATGCTTTTAATTTAATTATATAATTAAATTTGAAGATTTTACCTTCGGTTTTTGAAACATGGTAATTCCTGTGTAGTGAAAAACCATATTTTAAATCAGTTATATATATATATATATATATATATATATATACATATATATATATATGTGTGTGTTATGAACAGAATCTTTTCCTTTTTTTTTTATTCTGACAAATGTTGTTGGTACTGGACTATTTTCTTTTTTTATGTGCCATGTCCTTTCAGGACATTGGTGATCATGGCTCACTACAATTTCCTATCCTTTGTAGCTCTTAATAAATCTTGTCTTTTTGTTATCTCTCCTAAACATTGTTTCACCATCCATTTACTCAAGCTACACTACATAGGTTATGTGTTTTTTTTCCTCTGTCCATCTTGCCTTCAATCTGTCCTGTGACCATCAAATTTTCCACGCCCTCTTTCATCATTATGAATGTTAATCTACAAAACTTTTTTCCTTGTGTTTTTTGTTATGAGTGGACCACTTTATTTAAGTCATGCCAAAAAGTTTACTATGTACACCTAACATTCCAAGCCATGAGTTCATTATTAACAACTTTCAAGATCAGAGGGTGGTAGGTCTTGATTTTAGTTCTGAATTAACTTACCTTGATAAAGCCGCGATCCTGTTCACTTGTCAGACTCAGTCCTTCCTGTTTGTTCTCATACTTCAGAATTTCCATGATAAGATTCAGGATAATACTTATATCGTTGCCAAAAAAGTTGTCCGCAGATTCTTTTGCTGCTTTGGCTAAGAGTTTCATGAGAGTCTTTGAGACATAGGTGTTGATTTTTAGGCTTCCTTTCTTAATCTGCTTCAACTGAAGAAAACAAATAAATCCACCATATATTAGAATGAGTCAAAAAGGATTTTCATTTTTTTTTTTTTACTCAAATGTATACATTTAAAGATAACTCTAGTATGACATTAATGTTATTATTATAAATTAGGTTATATCAAAAGTACTTTCCTTTTTAACAGACTTTTACCCCAAAGTTTATTTCATACACACATCTAAAGACAATGACTCCACTATATTATTCATGTCATTCAGTAAGGACATGATTACTTGCAAAATTATGTCATATCTGTTCAAACCATTCACAAAATACTGAAAATGGCTCGATACTTTCTTGACAGATCTTGCATGCATTGCCTGGCCAAATCCATACCAGAACCTAGCAAAGTGTTCTTTATCATGCGATTCAATAACATACCATATTTTTCATAACATGTTTATGAAATATGGGACACCTGTCCTTGGATCGATGCCAACCATGACCATGTCTGGCAATGCCTGAACATATTAAAAATAATAACTAACATAACTCTTACCTAAATTCTTGCAATAGAAGAAAAGTTAAAAAAAGACAAAACAAAGGGCAACTAGATTTGCACCCAGATTAAACAGGCCAGTTACCTGTTTATGCAGATCTCGGAAATTGAGGCTAGTACAATTGAAAAGGTTAGGTTCCAGCCAGCTGTCTTCTTTGGTACAGTTTCTTTTGGCATCACCTAAAAAAGAAATTAAAAGCGGTCTCAAAATAAAACATTTATATTCATTGCACATTGAATATCCTAAAAGAAAGAAAATTCTTAAATACTAGTAGAAACAAAGTGTATAAAAATATTCATAGAAAAGAATAGATAATAAAAATCATGATAAATAACATTACTGAAGAGTAATACATTTCATAATGAAATTTTTAATTATTTTAGTTGAAAGAATTTTAACATAAAAAATGATGAATTTTATACAATTTGAGTTATAAATAATTTCCATTTTGTTTATCAACTTTATGCTTAAAAATTAAAGTACAATTACATTTTGTCTATATTTCTGAGGAGACATTGTAATTGGGCCAGTGGAATAAGCATTGGTTGAATCTGGTGCCTTGCCCCAAAGAGTTGTGAGTTTAATACCTGGCTATAGCTCAGGTGAACAAAAACTTGGAGAGCTTAGTTGAAGGGAGATAACTGATATTGAGACATCCAGAAGCGGCATGGCATGTGGAACTAGAACAATCTACTCCGGTGGGTGAAATAAAGGGTTCAGTTTGAAATTCAAAAAACCTGAAGAAGGCCAGAGTGTACAATGTCCGAAACGTTGTGAATATGGCAACAAAGATGAGGCGAACAATCCAAAAAATGTAGATAGTGTAAATAATAAGATGATGAATTTTATACAGTTTAAGTTATAAATAATTTCCATTTCTGTTTAATCAACTTTATGCATAAAAAATAAAGTACAATTATATTTTATTCAATTATATATTCACTATTATTTGCAATGACTTTGTCAGGGAGCTTTTTGATAACTTTTGAATAAAATCCTGCAGATTTTAATGTGAAAAAGTTTTCAACAAATTCTTGAATAAAAACTATCATCAGAAGTGAAAATGGCTTATCTCCTGGGACAAAACTCATTTATATGTGTCTTGTATGCAAAATACATGAAAGAAAATGTAGCAGATCCAAAAGCTACAATTTAATAACAACTTGATCTTGAAGTTCAGTGATTTTGCAAGACAAATTTGTGGCTTATGCAAATTTCCAAGCCTCAGCCACTTTATAAAATAAGCATGAGTGAGAGAACATCAGATAGTCAGCAGAGGCCAATAAGTGGTTGTGTCTTGTGCATGGATTTTCACAGTAGTCTCACCAATTTTGATTGAAAAGAAGACGGTACAACTGGTTCTCCAAACAAACATACCTTTTTTTCTACATCCCAAACAAAGCATTTTGCAGTGACCAAAAAAGGTAATTGCAAGGTAAAGTGAATCTGGCAGGTAGGGTAGAACAGACTAACCAAGTTCCATAATTTTTTCCAATGGTATCCTTCCTGTATATGGCTTTGCATTGTCATAGAGGAGAAAAACCTTTTTCTTTAATCCCCTGTGTACACTGTCATTTCTAAGCAAAAAACTAAAATATGTTCGTGTCCTCCAAATGCATTTTTAATTGCAACATACGATTAGCAGTGAAGATCATACATTTGTCATTGCAGTTGGTTCCCCAAAATGGAAATTACTTATGACTAAACCTAATACTTCTATTGATGCCATTAACTAATTATGTAAAAGTAGACTTATCATAAACAATTTGGACTCTCTCTTGTGCAAACTAGACCTAACAATACAACACTTTTAAATGAACTCAATCTTCAAACTAAATCTGAAATATTTACCATGAAACAAACCAGGGGATTAAATAACTCTAAATGAATTGAAATACCATTAAAAAATTTCAAATACAGATGTGAGTCAATTATGAAAATAACAAATGATTGTGACCAGAGAAAATTTTACAGTTCAAATTGTTAGGTGAAACTTTAAATCCTATCCTAATAGTTCTCACTTGTGGAACTCTTTTTTGGCTTTTTGCTCTTCATTCAACTTTGATCTTCAAAAATTTAAATGCAATATCAATTGTCATCTTCTGTCTTCTTAATTCCCATTCTGTTATTATCCTCTCTCCTTAATAATGTTTTCTTTTTCTCATTGTTTCACACTCAGTAACTCCTTATGTCTTAGTGGCTTTATTGCCTTGGTTGTGGTGAAATGATTAACAAGAAAACAAAAAAATTAACAAGATCAAATTAGCTTGTACAGATATCTCACGAATCTTATTTACTATATAAAACTCTGTGAACTTTACATTGTGTGTTTGCCAGAAGTCATATATAGAGAGTGGGGAAAAGAAAGATATAAATAACTCATATATAGACAGTCGGGAAAAGAAAGATGTAAATTTATAATCATGTAGAAAGTGGAGGATGGAGCTGATTTTCTTACGAGAAAGTGTATAAAACACACAAAATCCGGCCCCAAACAGGATACGCACAGCTGTCATCATGGTCCAGGCCACTCTTGCTCGTGAACTTCATGATCTCATGCTAAAAGCAAGAGCACTGACAAACTTCAAAGGGACTGCTTCAGACTACGGCAACACTGTCCACAGTAAGAAACAAATTCTATCTCTTGTATCCTCTTTACTATGAACCACGCACACACATGTTGACTTTTCCACACAAACACGCATAACAACATTTCATTGTTTCTCACATACATACACAAAGAAAATTTTATTAACCCAAACAAAAAGACATTAATTTGAGTTGCCTTAAAACTGATAAAATCTTTTAATAAATTTGGAAAACATCAATAATTTATTTAATATTGACATTTTTTTAAAATTTATGTTTTCCTGTCTTCTCTGGCTCATTTATTAAAATGTATTTATTTATATCTACAGCAGTAAAGTGTGGCACCATAAACTTACCTATTGCCCCACTGGGACATTCTTGGACAGCCATCTCATTAATAAATGTCCGATCCCACCATATTCCACGAGCAAAGCTACGGGGACAAACATCATACACAACTGCAATAAAAGGAAATCAAAAATTTAAATTTGCAAAGATATGAATGAAAACGATTTTATTTGAATTTTATTTTATTTTTTTGATGAATAGCAATCATGGGCAAAATTTTAGAAGAATGTTTTTGTTTGTATAGCTTAACTCACAGCTGAAATAATTGCATATTTCCCTGGAATATAAGTAAATAGTATTCAAGTTCAGGCTTTTCAATAAGGATTTTAAAAAAAAGAAAAGTAAGTAGCCCTCCTCACTTTATACAGTGATGTAGCACAGTTTTTCTACTCCAATTTTGACTGACCTTGTGCCACATTAAGCTTGGCATTTGCACTGGAAGTGCCAATACAAACATTTCAGAGTGTTTCAGTGTCAATCTGAGGACAGTGCAGAGAATTCGGAAAGAGTTGGATGAGTCTAATGGTGATTACAAAGGTGTTTGGAGTGATCACTAGTGATGGTAATGTTATGCCTCAATTCAAACTAAGTAAGTGCAAGGTCTCTATTCCCCACCTCTTCAATCAACTTAAGGTGTTCTCATCCTCTGCTGATAAAGCTGAACGCTTTTCCTGTAAATTCTCCTCATACTCTACTATTGACTCATCTGGAGTATACCTGCCTAACTTCCTACTTAGAACAGTTTCTCTGTTGATTGATATGTATACAACCCCTTCTCATCACAGAGCCTTTTCTCAGACAAGAAATATGGCTTTCATTTATCCAGTCAACTGCTGATGTATTGACGATAATTGCAGAAAGATTCTACCATGCTCTAGCATGAGCTGTAGCATTGGACATCTCAAAAGCCTTTAACAGGGTTTGGCATTCTGGTCTTCTCCACAAGCCAAAAAGTTACGGTATCTCAGGGCACATTTTTGATTGCAGAAAATATGTCAGCAATAAATGTATCATGATTGTAGACAAATTTGTCTACAATCACGATACATTTGTCACTGACATATTTTTGCAATCGTCAATGATGGCCTGTCTATGTTCCGGTTTATCATGACATGAAAAAATAAGTCACCCACCTCCACCATCTGAGCTTACTTTTCTAATTAGCATAAATCTGATATTTAATTGGTTAATCAAGACATACCCACAAGTCTATTTTTAATTCTGACCTAATATTTCCCTTCCTTTAACTTTCAGAAAAGGAGGTAACACTTTGTTTTTAAATTTTCTTAAAAATCATTTAATTACCAGTTACTTACCATCACCTGAAGAAGTACAATCAAAGTATTGAAACATGAAAGCCTTTGTGTAGCGATTCCAACATGTTTTTATTATAATCTCTTATAATAAAAATAATAATAATATATTGCTCTACTTTATATTGAGCACTTTTTTAAAAAGTAAAGGCGATAAACAGTGGAATTTTACTCCATCTGTTCTTTCTCTCAATTGGATATATGTGTGTGTGTGTGTGTGTGTGTGTGTGTGTGATGTGCATGTGTTTGTGTCAGTAAGAAAATGCCTGTGTGTGTCTAATACATGCATGTAAGTGTTTTTAGTAAGAGTAGAAAGAGTTCAATTAATAAGTGAGGAATGTTTCATGTAAGCTGGCCATTTGTAATCTTGCAAAATCACCCATCCAATGTCCAGAAGGTCACCAAGATGTTGATCTGTGACAATTAAGCTTATCAGTTGACAACCATAAAAAAAGACAATAAATTACCTCGACATCCTACTTCATGAACCTCTGCAAAACGACTTGCGCAACTGTCACATCTTCGTCCAATAACCCCTTTGTGGCATTTGCATTGACCAGTGACTGGATTACATGAAGGTCCCATAGAACCTTCTGGGTAACAGTTGCAAGGAAAACATTGGTTACTACCTTTGGGTTGGTAATGGTTTGTCTGGCAAAGATAAAAAATTGCAATTAATAAATAAGCAAGGCCTTCATGATGAAGATTATTAAAAGAATGACTAAATGAAATTATTTATTAAGATAGGATTTTTTTAGAAAAATTTTGCATTTCTAAGAACAAAAAGCCCATAGTTTTATCTAGCATCATCTATAATAATAAACAGAGTGAGTATTTTTTTCTGTTTATTTTTTTTGTTTGTAAATTATGTTAGGATAAAGTAAAAAGAAATATAAAATAAATGTGAATCCTTCCTAGATTTAAACATTTGACTTAGAGGTAAGCAAACAACTGACATATCCATTATATGAGTATTCTGTTGCTTGAACACCATGGTAAAATTAGCTTGCAAATACTAAATTAAGCAGAGCATACAGATCCTCAACAGAGTGCCTAAATACTACACTGTTCCTAGGTAGAAGTGCACAGGTACTACATTATTCCTGGGCAAAAATGCACAGATACTACACTGTTCATAGCCAGAGGGCCAAGAGTAATACTTTGAGCCTAAGCAGAGTGCACACAATGATCCTGTGGGCTAAAGAGAAATAATTTGATCCATGACAGAACAAACAGATATTCTGATCATCATTTTTTATGGGTATTATGCTAACAGATTAATGCCTATGCCCAGTGATTAAGAGAACATTAAGTTGGGGCATAACTTCCTGACTAATTACAAATTTTTATTTTTATCTCTTTTCTAAGTCAATGCTCTCTTTCTGTGCACAGATATTTGTAGAATAAATATTTTTTACAAGCACCCAATGTCCCTATTAGTTAAAAAGAGATAAAATAATTTACAAAGAAAAATAAATAAAATGATAAAATTATATCTAAAGGAGATGTAGACCAAATTAAAATTTTAAGTTTGAGTAAGTAATAATAAGAATGGTTAAAATAGTCAAGATCAAGTCAGCTTTGTGCTGAGTTGGAATGACTAAATTAGTTACTTCATAAGTGGCACTGCAAAACATGAGTGATTGTGTTGCACTGGAAAATGGAAAGGTTCTGTCCTTTCTGGAAGTGGGTAGGGACATAAAAATGGCAGAGATGATCAAAAAAAACTTCCAATTTCCTTTATTAATTGCATTATGGGAAAATGAATTTCTTTTTTTTTATTCTTTATTATATTTTATTTATTGGTTTTATTTCATTTTCTCATGATGTAAATTATATTAGGGAACTCGAACAAATGATAGAGAGAGAATGATTTATTGAACTGCTTCATTGTCCACGTGGGATCCCAGTCAAAGATGGCTGCTTGGTACTTCTGAGTAATATTATCCCTTCCAGATAGGAGAGTGGGATATGTTTATTCCTTCCCAGGTAGGAGAGTGGGATAAGATTATCCCTTCCTAGGTAGGGGAGTGGAGTAAGATTATCCCTTCCTTGGTAAGTGAGTAGGGTAAGATTATCCCTTACCTGGTAGGTGAGTGGAGAAAGATTATCCCTTCCCTGGTAGGTGAGTGGGTTAAGATTATTCCTTCCCTGGTTGGTGAGTGAAGTAAGATTATACTTTCCTGGGTAGGAGAATGTCCCAGGAGAGCAACTTGTGAAGATTAACAATTACAATTGCAAGTAGGATGCTGGAAATCATGAGACAATGTCATTTCTTATTTATTTTCAGGTGCAAAAGATCAAAAAGAGTACCACGTAGAATGAGAATGCCAGGCTAAAACATCCACCTCTCCTCTCCCTTAGTAGCATTAAAATGTAAAGCCACATCTTCACCATAGTAGGAGTTGCTGCTGTGGTTTTATAGCAAGTAAGTTTTTACAGGGGGGACTTGGTTTTGAATTCAGAGTTGTCATTCTCCTAATCTGATTACCAGCCAAAGCTAGAGAGCACAGTCTGCCCTGCTACTTAACACACAGATGAGGTGAGGAGAGATAGATTCATACCTTCTCCAAGGGTATTCATGCAAAAGTGAATGCAATAAATTTGACTGGAATTTGAACTCAGCATGCTGATTCCATTTTTCATGCCAATAACCACTGCACTATGTGCAAAAACTTAAAGCATAATATCATTAAATCTTTGCCATTGTTTTGTTCAACTATTCCTTTTTATCTCATTTTTGCAGATTTCATACTGAGATCTAAAAAAATTTACCTTGCAATAGCAGGCACCTGTTGTTTTGTTACAGGCCGGATTAAATCCCTTAGACCTTTTACAGTTGCATGGTCCACAAATCGGGTAGCCCCACCAAGCTGCAGGGCAAGGTTGCTGTAGGCTGATCTGACAGTATCGACCAAACTGGAGTCGTCCACACTCACAAGTGTAAGTTTTTTGACCAGCAGTTGGTCTATGACAAATTCCCATGTTTTGGCAAGGATTAAAGTTGTCACAGACATCTGTACAGTTTGAACCAATACGACCTGCGATAAGATAATGAACAAAGGAGTTAAGGTAGAATATAAGAAAAACCAGTTGGAGGTTTAGAAATTTTTATTCTGTTGCCAACATTTTTTTTCAACAAGAACATCATAAGACAACCAAAAAAAAAAAAAATTTTTTTAAATGTTACACAACATTGAAAAAATATTGGTTAATAAGTTAAAAATAAATACTTGTGGATAAAATAAATATCTGTGAACAAATCACTGCGATTAGTATATAGAAAAGCTTTAAAATAAATGTAAAATATAATGATTTGATGTCAGAAAATAAAAGAAAGCTAGGGTAAGAAAAATAATGTATATCTAAAAAAAAATAGTAAATCCATATATTTCAAATTATAATTTATGATAATATTATTTCAGAGTTAAAGAAAATACAGGGTGTGATGAATATATTGTCATCTAAATTACACATAAAAGAAAATAATACTGACATCTCATTTTAGCCAATATAGTTAACAAAATTACACAAAAATATCTTGAAATACGAAAGAGTAAATTTATTCAATAAAATCGCAATTGGCTTCAACCATGGCCTCAAGATGACTTTGGAATCTCCTGCATCTCTTTGGGGATGGTCTCCTTGTTTAAGTTTGTGAATGCTGCCATAATCCTTGCTTTCAGTTCATGTATGATGTTACAAGGAGTTTTATTGCTCTCTTGCTCAGCTGCCTATGCCCAACACATAATAATCAAGGAGGTTGCAGTCTGGGAAGCTGGGTGGCCAAATGTTAGGGGTGATGTGGTCACAGAAATTGTCTGTCAGCCATGATTAGGTTCTCCTGCTTGTGTGACATGGTGCAGTATCCTGTTGTAAGACATAGGATATTCCAGCAGCTACACTCTTTACCCAGGGCAACACTACCCCCTCAAGGCCCTTGATGTAGGCCTTCATGTTGAGTCTGAGGCCCTGTGGGAAGATGAATTTTTTTGCAGCTAAGAAGCTTCTACAGAGCAGGTATATACAAGGTGGGATGGATAAATTGTCATCTAAATTACACATAAATGAAAATAACACTGACATTTCATTTTAACAGATTTTTACATAAAAATATCTTGAAATACTAAAGAGCATTCAATAAAATCACCATTGACTTCAACTACAGCATTTGGATGACTTCAGGATGGTTTCCTTGTTTAAGTTGATGAATGCTGCCATAATCCTTGCTTTCAGTTCATCTTTGGTGTTACAAAGAGTTTTGTTTGTCTCTTACTAAACTGCACCCCACACATAATAATTAAGGGGTTTGCAGTCTGGGGAGTTAGGTGGCCAGATGTAAGGGGTGATGTGGTCACAGAAATTGTCTGACAGCCATGACTAGGTTCTCCTGCTTGTGTGGCACAGTGCAGAGTCCTGTTCCAGCAGCCACCCTCTTGACACAGAGCAGCACTACCTCCTCAATGCACTTGATATCAGCCTCCATGTTGAGTCTGAGGTCCTCACCAACAAATTCAGGAGTTCTGTTCTTATCCGAACAATCAGAGTGAGTCTTCTGAGCTACCGTACCTTCATAATCACCATTAGACTCACCCAACTCTTTCTGAATCCTTTGCACTGTCCTCAGATTAACATCCAAACACTGTGAAATATTTGTATTGGAGCTTCTGGCACAAATGCCAAAAAGTGCAGCATGCATTTTCCAAATTTTATGGTTGAGTGAGTTGCGTCATGGTGCTCTTTTTCTCAAAGATGGTGTCCAAGGAGTTTTGTTGCTCTCTTACTCAACTATGGCCCACACGTTAATAATCAAGGGGGTTGCAGTCTGAAGAGTTAGATGGCCAGATGTAAGGGGTGAAGTGGTCACAGAAATTGTTTGACAACTATGACTGGGTTCTCCTGCTTGTGTGGTATGGTGCAAAGTCCTGTTCTATGCTCCGTTTGAGGCCCTGTGGGAAGATGAAGAAAGGCATAATGCCGCCATCACTCCACACACCTTTGTAATCACTATTAGACTCATGCAACTTTTTCTAAATCCTCTGCACTGTCCTCAGAATGACACCTAAACACTCTGAAATGTTCATATTGGAGCTTCCAGTACAAATGTCAAGCAGTACAGCATGCCATTTCCAAATTTTTGGCAGAGTGAATTGCGTCATGGTGCTCTTTTTCTCACAGATGGTGCACAATTGACATTACTATATTGTGCAGTTGACAAAATTTAAAACAAACAATGTGCATGCACAAAAATATGGCGACAATTTACCCATTGCACCCTGTTTAGAATTAAATAAAAATAAAAATTTATGATAATATTATCGTTTACCCAGTATCTATTCTAATATTATTTTTAAATATAATCTTAGCCAGAAAATGTGATATGTTAGAAAAAGCTTTTCTTGATGAAGCAAATTGAATCATGAAGTCATAGCTGATTAAATAATTCTTCTAAATAATTTATAACAAATAAATTTAATTATGCTGACATTTTTAAAATCGAAAGGATGGCTTGTATTTTGTACATTATCCATGCTTTTAATATTGCTGCCGCATATGGTCTGGTGCCCCTGCTACATATTTAGAGATCCTTGATAAAACCTAAAGAAGAATCTGCAATGTTATTGGTCCTGACCTGGCATCATGTCTTCACTCAATTTCCCAACCCCTGTAATGTCTCTTTTCTATAAATACTTTCATGGCAATTTTTCTCTTGAATTTACTTCTATGGCACCTCGACTTTATGAATTTAATACTAGATTGGTGGCAAGATCTCATCATTCTACAATTGAAATTGCTGGGTGTAGCTCTAATTTCTATGCTAACAGTTTCTTTTCTTGCATTTCTTGCTTGTGGGATTCTCTTCTGGATTATTGTTTTCCAGTCAAGTTTGATCTTCAAAAATGTAAATGCAATGTCAATTGTTATCTTCTGTTTTCTTAATTCATGTTTTTTTATTGTTCTTGCTCCTTAATAATGTTTCTCTTCTTCTTATTCTTTCACACTTAGTAACCCTTTACATTTTAGTGGCTTTATTGCCTTGCTTGGGTGAAATGATTAAAAGAAAAATTGTTATTACCTGGAAGACAATCGCATTTGTACTGTCCCCATGTATCAACACAGGTGTTAGGTCGACAGGGATTATCTTTGAGACAAGGGTTTTCCATTGTGCATCCAGACTCAGCATTGTATGGTTGTGGCTTGGATAGCAGAGATTTGCTAATCTCATTTCCAATTCGAATGTTCTGAAAGGAAAAAACGTTTTTAATTAATTAGAATAATAAATAACTTTTTACCACAATGTAACAGAGAGCTTCTTTATTTAGGGTTTTTTCTTTCTATTTTCGATACAAAAATAATCTCTCTTTACATATAGTTTCACATGAGTGGCTTTTTCATGAATTTTATCAAAGAATTTTGCTACTGAAATAAAAGCATGTGTTTTAGAGAAAACTGAATCTGTTGATTTTAAATTTGTACTCAAAATTGTCTTTGAATCTCAAGATTTTACATTAAAAAAAATACTCTGATTCTGAATCCCTACCTGGTATTGTTATCGCATCTCAAAATTTGACAATAAACTAAGTACCCTGATTCTGTATCCATACTCAGAATTGTTGTTATATCTCAAGATTTTGCATTAAACCAAGTACCCTGATTTTGAATCTGTACTCGGAATTTTCATTGCATCTCAGGATCTTATGTTAAACTAAGTACCCTGATTCTGAATCTATACTCACAATAGTCCACATGTAAAAACTGATAATTTCTCATGCCATAAATTCAGACAGAAAAAAACAAAAATGATCATTTTCCCACAAACAATTCTTAATGAAAATGCAAGTGCAAGTAATAAAGATTTAAGTAAATTTCAAAGACATTTCAAAGATTTTCCAATGATTGTGTAGAAATTGGTGCTGGGAACTTCTGCATCGACTTACTTTCAAGCTTTATCTTACCTTAACACATCCAACCAGAAAGTCAGATACCATATCTCCATCAATATGCCGCGCTCCAATAAAGATTCGCACCACGGACTTTCCTGCAATGTCATTTGAGATTTCCCCAATTTCCTGCAAAGACACATAGAAGTAAAGAGAAAATGATGGAAAAGTAACATTGTCTACAAGAGGTCTACCTAGAATGCATACAAGTATTTTGTATATATTAAGAACTGGTTGCACAGCCTTTATGCAATTTGGTAAGCAGAGGGGACATCAAAGTGTATGCATGAACAAACTCTCTTTCCTTGGGCATGCAATTACTTTGTAGTGAAATGCAACTGAGTGGGTAATTAAGCAGAGAAAAGATAAGGAAATATATTGAGAGAGTCATTAAGTAAAGAAATACTAGTGAGTGAGTCACTTCATAGAGAAATGCTGATGAGTCATTTCTTAGAGAAATGCTGATGAGTGAGTCACTTTGTAGAGAAATGCTGGTGAGTGAGTCACTTCGTAGAGAAATGCTGGTGAGTGCGTCAGCTCGCAGAGAAATGCTGATGAGTGAGTTTTTGTGCTGTGAAACCATTGTCTTCACAATGATTTTTCATGCAGTGATTTTTGTCAAAACATTGTGTTCACCGAAGTCTGTTAGACTTTTTACAGTCTAGATTCAGCTTCCAGCAAATCCTTTTTCCAAAAAAAACAAAACAAAAACTAAAATCATAAATGAACAGAAAGAGATATCAGATTGGATGAGATTAAGGAGAACGCAATGAGTCATTTGATGTAGATCTGGTAAATGGCCCCTGTAGATTTCTTTGAAAAGTAGATAATGGGAGAAGTGTGTGTGGTCCCAAATGAAATAGTTTGAAGTGAATAAAGGAAGGTTATTTTACTTTTTTTTTAATATTAAATGGCTGGATATTTCCTAAGCAGATCTTGTATAAAAGTCTTGTATATATTGTATCACAAAGGTTACTGCTTATAAAAGGGATTTAGCTAATCTTTTAAGGAATCAAAGAAATACACTTTAGAAGAGAATAATATCTGAAGAATTAAGAGGCTCTGAAAATGTAGCATTTAAGTGAGTAAGTATAAAAAACATTCAGCATTACACATGATTATTTGTGAAAACAGTCCAATGTTTTTAATGGGACCATATTACAGTAAAAAAAGGATAGTCTTAAAGATAACACTGGACAGCAAAGATTTGGCTACTTAAATTAAAACATAGTCTGTTGATTCTAAATCCATACTGGGAATTGTCACAGACTTATAGGTATTTTGTATTAAACTAAGTACGCTGGTTCTGAATTCATGGTCAGAATTGTTGCAGCTTGTTGGGATTATCCATTAAATTAAGTATGCTGATTCTGGATTCGTACTTGGAATTGTTGCAGCTTATTGGGATTATGCATTAAATAAAGTGCACTGATTCTGGATCTATACCCGGAATTGCCACAGCTTGTTGGGATTATCTATTAAATCAAGTATGCTGGGGAGATGGGATGTGCTTATTTTATTACCACAATTTACAGATCACGACATCTATAAGAGAGATAAAATTTAAATATCATTGCATTATTCCAAAATTTTAACACATCAGCTATTGATGTCAACAACTGAGCACAAATAGTTATTAATTAAAAAAATTAGTAATTAATGTATAATATTATCCATAACTACATGTACAAGAATATCGTTTTTGATAAAAGTTAAAAAATAACCATAAATACATAAAAAATGTATATATTGTTGAAATTTCCTTTTTCCATAATATAGCTATTTGTGCTATGTTATAATGCTTATTACCTAAACAATAATAATACGGAATAAATTATTTTTTAAACATTAAAGTATGTTTAATCACATCTCTCTAATAGCTATCATGATCTGTTAATAAATAACACAAAAATGGGATGCCAAATGTCTTTTCAAATGCACTTCTTTCATTCTCGTGTTTTTTTTCTCCAACAAATGTGGATGCCATAAATGAACATAGCAAGAGGTTTCACCAAAATATACAGAGTGTTTCAAAATTGATGAAGTAAAGAAGTGGCCTCTCAGATAGGGAGAGCTTGAGGAGCCTGATGACATTGATGAGGAGGTTCCAGCAGGATGGTGCTCCTCTGCTAATGTTACAATGGCATGGCTCCATGAAAATATTGCGAGTGTCTCATCAGCCACAAAGATGAAGTGGAATGGGCACCTCACTTGCCTAACCTGAACACTCTAGATTTCTTCCTCTGGGGGCTCCTCAAGGACAACATCTACCAGGGCAACCATTGTCACATTGAAGGTAGCCATCACTGAGAAGAATCATTCCAGGAGGAATGTGCCTGTGCTATCAACAAATTTGCATTCAACAGTGCCTTCAACTGAATGGCAGGCATCAGGAGCATGTACTCTAGAGATCCTCTTGACATTTTTGGTTCATGTTTGAGACTAAATGATTGCAGATCCTAAAATGTTATCTTTTTACCCTTCAATAAATGTGATTTTCATTACATTATCATTTGTGGTCCTTTATTTGTTTCAAAATTTGTGAAGAACCCTGTATCTGTTGTTGCAACTTCCAAACACCAGCAGAATTCTCCAGGCTGACAATAATTTGTCCTATACAGTCTCCTGTCTTCTACACACATACCATCAGCAAGATCAAAATGAAAACAACTATTCAGTACTTAGAGTTATCTCCCCCATAGAAGGTATGCAAATGAGTCAACACAACCATTGCTATTCAAATATGTCAGTAGTGCCAATTGTTCTAATCAGCCACAGTTTCTCCAAATGGTCAATTTATCAATCCATCTGTTGTTAAGCATCACTCATGACCAGTGGAGCTAACTCGGAGGAAATAATTTACTCCCACCACACTAGATGCACCATATCCAGAGTCTCTTGCTATGATGGCAGTTCATTTCTCTTCTACAATATCCATGATGGCATCAAGGATGGCTCCATGCAAATAGTATACGTGACCACTGCTGGTCCCTACAACAGGAGATAACCTTAAAAAAAAAAAAAAGCACAAGAGCAAGTGTCTTAAACATTTCTAAAGATGTTGGACCATGAACTATCACCAATCATGATAAACGGATGTTCCCTCAGAGAGGCCCCATGCCTTGAGCACCTATTGTACCTATTGTTTGAATAACTCAAACCAGACCTCAAATGGAACACATACATATGATGTATTGTTAGGGATGCTGAAAAAAATGGTTGTCTCCCTGTACCGCTCTAGTAAGTACCTGACTCCTCCAGCTATCCTTTACAAGAGCCAGATCAAGCCTAAAATGGAGTACCGCTATATGGACAGGAGCTACCCAGGCTTCACTTTCAAGTCACGATATAGTCAAAAAATGCTCAGATGAACTACATTCCTTAGTTCCACCAGTTCTAACCTTCACAGATAAGACTTGCCATGTTACACACATTCTAGGGAACCACCATCATTTCCTTCCATATTCCATTGGTGAGAATTAAGTTCCATTTGAGCAACTTCTTTCCACAAACTGCTGCTCTATGGAACTGACTCCTAAGAACATGCATCCCTGGTCATTACAATCTTAACCTATTCAAGTCTAGGGTTAACTGTTATCGTTCTCATGTATCTGTATAAATTGTGCCTCTTACTCTGTAACACTATCTCGAGTGGCTCCCAGGGCTTGTACAGGGTGAACATAACTGTAAAAAATAAAAAAGTGTGTATATTTTTCTTTTTTTTTTTTGGTTATTTGGTTATTTCCAATTGTCATCTAGATTTTTCCTTGAACATAAGAGTACTTTTTTTTTTTTTTTTGATTGCTACTTTACATAAATATCTTTTTCAACTTACCATTATATCAGTGATATAGTCTACAACAATATTGACCTCTTCCTGGTACCAGCTTGTCTGGACATAATGCCACTGACCATCATTCACCTTGTTATGACTGTAGACTACTTTCTGCTTTCCATATTCATAGGTAATGTAGCCATTTTGCAGCTGGAAAATAAATCAATAATGATGGGTTAAAATTTACAAATTGATTCTCACCTGTTCAATATCGATGAACCTCATTTAGAAATCTTTTTCAAATAATTTTTCATAAATTTATTCACTAAATTTTCAATACAAATAATGATAAAAGATGGCATAATGTACAATTTCCAAAATAATTCTATAGGAAACACTTTGGTTAATGTGTCATGTATGAGAATAAATGCCGGCACAATAATTTATTATGTTTAGATATACAGTGTGCGACAGATAAAATGTCATCTAAATTATGCAAAAATGAAAATAATACTGACATCTCATTTTAACATATATGTTTGCCAAAATTACACAAAAATATCTTGAAATACTGAAGATTAACTTTATTAAAAAAAAAATAAAAAAAATCACCATTGGCTTCAACCACAGCCTCCAGATGACTTTGAAATCTATTGCAACCCTTTTGTACAGTCTCCTTGTTTAAGCTGATGAATGCTACCATAATCCTTGCATCTTTGATGTTACAAGGAGTTTTGTTGGCCTCTTGCTCAACTGTGCCCCAACATAGTAATCAAGTGGGTTGCAGTCTGGAGAGTTAGGTGGCCAAATATAAGGGGTGATGTGGTTGTCAAAATTGTCTGACAGCCATGATTGGGTTCTCCTGCTTGTGTGGCATGGTGCAAAGTGCCATTGCCAAATATAGGAGTTTCCACCAGCAGCCACTCTCATGACCCAGGGCAACACTACCTCCTGAAGGCACTCGGTGCAGTTTCCAAATTTCTGGCAGAGTGAATTGCATCAGGCTGCTCACAACTGACCCTACTATACAGTGCAGCCAACAAAGTCAAAAATAAACAATGCATATGTGCAAAATTAAAAAATATATGTACACTTTGTACACCTAATAGATTGTGGAAAAAATTGTTTTAGAAAATTTTTGCACCCCACTGTTTTCACTATTTACATTGTTTGGACTATCATCCTCATCTTCATTGCCATATTTATCCCAATGTTTCAGCTGTTGTACACTCCAGCCTTCTTCAGGTGGTTGAAATTCAAACTGAACCCTTTATTTTGTTTGCTGGAGTAGAATGTTCTAGTTTCACGTGCCACGTCTAATGGATGTCAGTTATCAGTTGTCTCCTGTTAATTCCCCTCTCCAAGTTCTCCACTGCCTTAACTAGGTATTGAATTCACACTCTTTAGGTCCTGTCATTGGATCTAACAAATTCCTTTATTCACTGTGCCATGTGTCCTTGAGGACATCTGTATATGAATTTCTGGAAATTATAAACCTAATGTCTTCAGCAACATTTTTTACCAGAGCTCATATTGCAATTTTCATTGTTATTATTGCTTTTCTCTGGCACTCTATATTACTGGTTCCCATATTGTATTCATTTCTATGCTAGGTCGACTTTTGGAGATTTTTGTGGCCTAGCATATGTGATTATTCCTTAAGTTTACAAATTTTCTAATGATGTTCTTTGTCTATGATTTCAACCTGATCCCACAGTGGGCAGTGATTTCCCTTTTCTCTCCATATGTGGCCAGCCACGCCTGATTTTTCCACTTTCCATATAGACAGATACCCCACTGTTTTATTTAGACCTTTCATTAAGTTTGCACTTCCTGATCATTTAAATGATTTTCCAACCCCACCATTAATTTAGATCCTCCATTTATTTCATATTTTTAAAAAATCTCAACCCCACCAATGAAGACCCCACCCCACCCTGACATTGTTTAAGAACCAAAGAGGAATAATATCAGATACAATAATTATGCATTGTGGAGAGCCATGACCAACCAACATTCTGAAGGGATATGGGACAGAAATGAATAGATGGCAGAACAATGAAAAAGAGATATGGTAAAGTGTCAAATGTTACTTAGAACAACAAAAGACAATGTTGTGGAGAGCCATGATCCCTCATATCTTGAAAGGGCATGATATTTAAAAGAAGATACATCTTGTACATATGTTCTTACTCTGATTATAACTTTTTGTGCCCCTTGAATGGTGATATCAAGGAGGACTCCATTTTCAGCACGAGTCCGGAAAGAAATACCATTGTACCAAGGGAAGGCGATATGTTCCAAATTGGGACTATTAAAAGTGAGGTATCCATCTCCTTTCAACTTGAAAGAATCATCAACCACTGAAAAAGAACAAAGCAAAATTTAATTATAAAAAACATACATCAATAATAAACAAAAATACAAATTCATATCATATAACATAATGTTGTTCTGTCATTGGGGCTTAAAGTGAAAACTTGGAACTATATATATATATATATATATATATATATATATATATATATATATATATATATATATATAAAATAAAAGGTAAAACAATATATCCTACCACTACCTTGGTTTCGACTATGAGAGGCCTCATCAGGTGGCTAAGTAATCTAGGTTTACCTAGCCACCTGATGAGACCTCACAGTAGTGCAGTTGGATATTGTGTTTTCCCTTTTTTATTACATTAACTTGCTCTGCATGTTCATTTTTCAGAGCACTGTATTGAGCACTTTTTATATGTCTGTTTTTTGGCACAGTAATTTTTCCAGCCTTTTCACATATATTTTGTGTGGTGTGTGTGTGTATATATATATATATATATATATGTATTAGAGCATGCAGCTTATATTTTATATCATAAAAAACAATTTATACAAAGAATTAAATAGCAATGTTAATGTGATTAATGCCAAAATCACTTCACTAAAAAGACTTAATGAGACATTAACTTACTATCAATTCCTTGAATAATAAGATCCTTATATTCAAGTTGTCATATGGAAGACACTTGCTAAGTACTTTTGACAATTTCAAATTGTCATCTTCAGGGCACAAATTTTTCCCAGAACTAGGCAAACACTAAGACGAAATATGTGTAGACTGAAAGATGTTTTTTAAATTATGCTATTTATTGACATTTGAATATATGTTTTGGAGTGTGTGATGCCATGATGCTAAAGTTCTTGTTTAAATCAATCAAGTGACAATTTTGTTTGAATTTTGAAAAGATATAAATCCACAAAATTTATATATATGTGAGCTACCTCATCACCCTTTACATCATTTGTAATTGGTTCCATCTCATTTTGGCATCCATGACCCCTCTAAGATGACTCTTGAGACTCAGCATTCTATTTCATAGGTATCAGGCATATATGACAGATAAACTCTGTATCCTTGATTGAGCTGATTGGATCTACATGGCCTACAACACTCCTGTGTACCTCCACATGGCCTTTCAGTCCAAATAATGATCTGTAAAGTATAGTCGGCAGCAGGCTGAGGCAGTTTGGCATAGTTGGCTTGCTTCTGATTGTTATGATGACCTTTCAGCTGGTTTATATAACCTGCCCTTGACAACAACATGTACTCACACACCACACATTTCTTTCCAATGCTGCACATCCAGAGAGGCAAGAGAAGAAACTGTTAACATAGAACTTACATCGAACCATTTCAACTGTAAAATGATAAGACCTTTCCACCAATCTAGCACTGCTTAAATTCATAAAGTCTACATACAATAGAGGGAAGTTCAACAGAACAATTACCATGAAAGTAGTTACAGAAATATAATGGGGAAGTTACATTAAAGTGGTGGGGAAGGGCCAATAACATTGCAGATTTTTTGTATTTTATCAAGAATCTCTAAATATATACAGGGTGCCATGGGTAAATCGTCACCATTTTATATTTTTGATTTCATGAATGGGCATTGTTAGTTTTTGATTTTGTTGACTGCACAGTATAATATGGTCAGTTGGACACCGTCTGTGAGAAAAAGAGCACCATGACACAATTTACACTGCCACAAATTTGCAAACACCATGCTATACTGCTTGGCATTTGTGCAGGAAGTTACAATACAAACATTTCAGAGTGTTTGGATGTCAATCTGAGGTCAGTACAGAGAATTTAGAAAGAGTTGGATGAGTCGATGATTATGAAGGTGTTTGGAGGGATCACTAGTGATGTCAATTTTATGCTTCCATTCATCTTCCAACAGGGCCTCAGATTCAACATTTTTCAAAATTCCACCCTTCTGTTCTCCATTTTAAATGCATCAAGTTTTTATGATTCAACATTAAAAAAAAGGGATCTCAAAACCATGCAATATCAGTGCACAATAATACTTTTTATATTAATATTACATTTTAATAAGTAGGCCTCATGAATAACATGAATAATGTTGAATTTTTATCAAGTACCTTCAGGATGTAGTTCTGTCCTGGGTCAAGAAGGTGGCTGCTGGAAGACCCTATTTCTGGCAACAGGACTCTGCACCATGCCACACAAGCAGGAGAACCCAGTTATGTGTGTCAGACAATTTCAGTGACCACATAACCCCCTTACATCTGGCTACCTAACTCCCCAGACTGCAACCCCCTTGATTATTATGTGTGGGATGCAGTTGAGCAAGGGGTCAACCAAACTCCTTGTAACACTAAAAGTTGAAATGAAGGCAAGGATTATGGCAGCATTCACCAACTTAAACAAGGAGACCGTTCAGAAGAGTTGCAGCAGATGCTGAAGCCAAAGGCAATTTTATTGAATAAATTTACTCTGTAGTATTTCAAAATATTTTTGTGTAATTTTCGTAAATATATCTGTTAAAATGAGATATCAATGTTATTTTCATTTTTGCATCATTTAGAAAACAATTTAACTATCGCACACTGTAGCAGAAGCACCAAACCAGATGTGGCAGCCATATTCGAAGCATAGACAAAAGGTAGACTAATAAATATGTAAGATAGATTCTGGTAAGAAAAATTGTCTAGCTTGACACAATGAACCAAGTTTCATTGCAACAGGCCTAGCATTTTCACAATTAGAGAAATTTGTGTGTTGCCAGTGAAAACTGAAAGAAATCATTCTAAAGTTTTGTTTGGTTAATTCATTTCTTTTATGTTGTTGTTGTTCCCACAATGTTTCGGCCAATCTATTCTTCAACTTGTGTCAAGTGGATAATCAGTAAGAGGAGAAAATCCAATTCTTTCAGAACATGGGACAAAATTAATATGGACATTAGTATACCAATGCAATCAATCTCTTTTAACAACTCCAAATACACAGATGAAGTCATTCTTCCATTCATGCACCCAGGTGATTCCAGGTCAAGATGACGGAGCAATAACATAAAGAACAGAAAGAAACTTAACTGTTGAAACAATATTTGGAATGTTGCCGCTTATGAAATTTATAGACAGCCTGTTGGTAAGGATAGACAATTGCTGCTTTGCTTACAGTAGTGGCCAGTTAAAAGAAGTTTGGTTCACAACTGCAGATGGCACAATTCCCAGGCATCCAAAATAGAAACTTAAGGTATGTCACAAGACCTGTACAGCAATCCACTTGAGGTAATTATGATTAATAACTTTTTTTATTTGTTCTCTTCACATACTGTTCTGTTTTTAATGTGTTTTAATTTATGTGTGTGGACCAAAAAGCAAGTGAAAATAAGACAAAAGAAATCCTAGTTAAAAATGAATAATGCCTGACAATGCTTCATCTAATAATAATAAAATTCAAGATAATATTACTACTAATACTACTAATGTAATAAAAAACAAGTGAAATAAAGACAAAAGAAATTCTAGTCAAAAATGAATAATGGCTGACAACACTTCATCTAATAATAATAAAATTCAATTTATTCATGTTATTCATGAGGCCTACTTATTAAAATGTAATATTAATGTAAAAAAGTATTATTGTGCACTGATATTGCATGGTTTTGAGATCTTAACCTTTTTTTTAATGTTGAATCTTAAAAACTTGATGCATTTAAAATGGAGAACAGAAGGATAGGATTTTGAAAACTGAGCCAAATTCAATCCATATTAAAGAAATTAAATAATAACCTAAAATCAATGCAAAAAAGAAATAAAAATTTTAAAAACACTTACTGTCTTCACAAGTTTTCCCTGCAGTGCCTTCAACACATTCACAATGAAAAGTGTTCCAAGAGTCTGAACACGTCCCTGCAGAGTGGAGGGGAGTGAAAAGAGAAAAAAAAAACTTTTACACATACAGAGCAAATTCAAGAATCAATCCTTCATTTAAAGACATATTAAGTCAAACAAAAGAAAATCATTGGAGCCTTTGTAAGGAAGTTCTCAATTTGAATTAGTTGCTTCATTTCAGGTGGAAACTTGTCAATATTAAATATTAAGCAGTGAGCACTAATCTATTGTTGGTGTTTTTTATGGAAAGGAGATCACAGGTGTAGAAATAGTCAGTATGTTGCAAGGGGATTGCTATCAGTTGAAAATTTGAAATACTGCTTATTTTTGGACCTTGTATATTTTTTCTTTAAAAATGACTAATAATGATCAAAAGTACTCGAATATTAAAACTTAACTCACTTTTTAACTCCACTAATAGAAACTTACCAAAAAGCTTAATAATAGATATTCTCTGATGAAATATTAATGAAGTACATTACAAAGAAAAAAAGAAAAAGAAAAAAGAGAATTCACAACAATAATGAAAGTACATTGTGGCATAAATTCTCACAACAAAGAATATTATGATTATTATACTTGAATCTATTCAGGTTAATGTCTTTATGGAGGTTGTTATAGTTACAATATTTAAATCATTGTAACTTTTAATCTTCTTCACCAATAAGTATTCACCTTAAGTATATTAGTCTGAACTTTTGACACAAGGAATCTACCATATTATAATTCTGGTTGTTCTTTAGCATCTACATTATGCCTTCTGCCAATATCTCATAAATAATGGACAATTCCATTTTGATCACAAGGAAAAATGGGAAAGACATAGAGGTGCATTTTGGTTTCAGTGAGAAAAAGAAAAAAAAGATAGGGATAGTGATAACAGCCTCATGTGTTTAACATCTGGAAAAAAACTTATCAATTATTATGATAAACTTACACATAAATTATACACACAAACACTGCTTGACAAGTTAAATGAATGTGAAGTCAACTTAAAAAATAAAAATTAAACAACATAAAAATGAAAATACCAGAAATTTTTTCCTATATCTCCTTCTCTGATGAAAATTTAATAAAAGTGAAACGTTAAATTTATAAACATTTCCTATTTGTTCTCTATTCTATTGGTTTCCGACCTATATTTGATCCCAATTTATATATATATATATATATGTAATAAATTTGGTTATGTAATTCTGATAGAGTTATAAGTTATTGACAGAGAAACATTCATGAAAGTATGTTATGAAAATGATATCCAATAATGCAATTCGCCTCTACGACTTCTTCAGATGGATAGCGAAAAATGTCTTGTGTGTGTATGGATTTGTGTGTGTTTAAAATAATTAAATCTTTTATTATTTTTTCCAAGCTGGCATTGCTTGAGACTAAAAAAGAGAGAAAGAAAATGAGTGACTTTTAAAAATCCATCTGAAGAAGCTGTAGAGGCAAAATGCATTATCGGATATCACTTTTTATAACATGCTTTCATGAACGTTGATCCAAATGTCAATAATTTATTATATATATATATATATATATATATATATATATATACTAATATGATTATTAATATTATATATGATTTTTTCACTTCATCAGGTTGCTGAGAAAGTTAGTGAGAAGAACCATGAACTCTATGCCATCTTTATCAATCTGACCAAAACATTTGACACTGTAAACAGGAGTGCCCTCTGGAAAGTACTCCAAAAACTTCAGAAAGCTTCAATGTAACAAATGGTACGAAACAAGGTTGTGTCATGACTCCTGTACTTTTTGCTCTCTTTTTTTTGGCCATGCTAGACCATGCTTTTAGTGATATTGAAATGGGTGTGAAACTTGAATGAGTGGCAGCCTCTTATACCATCAATGTTTTAAAGCAAAATCACTGACTCAAGCAAGCATTATTCATGGTCTTTTGTTTGCTGATTATGCTGTGATCGTAGCCACCTCAATCAAAGAAGCTCAATCACTCATCACTTGTTTTTCTACCACTTGCAATGCATTTGGATTAACTATAAGTATAAAGAAAATTGAAGTTGTCCATCAACCAAGGCCTACATCCAAGCATATCAGCGGTGTAAAACAAACCACCTGCTAATACCTTTCTAATCATTCCCATTACTGTTGGCAACAACAACCTGAAGTTTGTGAAATCATTCTTGTACTTCAAGTGCCTCTTTGGATGAAGAGATAGTTAACCGAATATCAAAGGCAACCAATGCCTTTGGGAAGCTTAAGCATTGCCTATGGGATGTTCATGAGATTTCACTGAAAACGAAAATCAGTGTCTATTGAGCAGTCATTCTCACCACACTTCTTTATGGGTCGGAATCGTAGACGCCATACAGGATGCACATCAATCAACTTGATGCTTTTAATAAACGTTGTCTTCATTCAATATGCAGTTATACACAGCAGGACAAAATCTCTAACCCTGATCTTTTCATCAAATGTGGCGTCGGTTGTATTGAATCCTTTCTGATGCAATCACAGTTCAGATGGGCTGGTCATGTCATCAGAATGAGTGATGATCGGATGCCAAAAATCCTCATCTATGGCCAACTTTTTCATGGTAAGCATAATGTAGGCTGTCCTTGGTTATGCTTCAAGGACAAACTTAAATACAATTTAATTGCTGCAAACATCCCTATAGAGGAGTTTGAACTTTCTGTTGAAAACTGAGCAAACTGGAGAAACACCTGCTACCGAGGTATATCAAAGAATCGTCTCAACCATCTGAGAGAATTAAGAACCAACACTAAATCTTGGGCTAATATATATATATATATATATATATATATATATATATATCAGCCTATATGACAGTCAACCCTTCAGCATGTCCTTCATGTGGAATTGTTTGCAATTCCCGTGCAAGACAGTTGTTGCATACGAAACATAAATATAAAAAACTAAACTGAAAGACATTCGTATGCTGAAAGCAATGGGAGAATCCATCATATATATATATATATATATATATATACCAAAGTATATAATTGGTATACACGGAATGAATTCCAATAACCAACAATTACTATTCTTAAAAGAGTGCTCAATACAAAGTAGAGCAGATATAATTATTTTTATAAAAAAAATTATAACATAAGTATGTTATAAAATCACTACAAAAATAGCCATTTTGTTTCAAACACACTCTGTGTCTTATCAAGTGATGATGTTGAAAAAATAAAATAAATGGTTTTAAAAAGTTTCAGATTAATTAACGATCCTACACTGGGAGGAAACATTGTTACAAAAGCTAAATAACCAATCAAAAACAGAAGTATAGAAAGATTCAAAAAACGACAGTGATTAAATCCTGCTCTAATAGCTATTCATATCTTTAAATTTTATTAAAAATAATTTATACTAACTAAAATTATAAATTTACATGATAAAATTTAATATTAAAATTAAAACTATTTTAAAAACCAAATTTAATCACTATTAAGTTTAAAAACTACAAAATTATTGATAAAAGATTGGTTATTCTAGTGTTTATTCAATTTTCCTCCCAGTGTATTTTAATTAATTTTCAACTTTTAAAACCATTTATTTTATTTTCAACATCATCACTTGATAAGACACAGAGTGTGTTGAAACAAAATGGCTATTTTTGTAGTGATTTTATAACATACTTATGTTATAATTTTTTTTATAAAATATATATATATATATATATATATATATATATATATACTAGCACTGATCTGAAAAATGTAACATTAATTTTCTTACCTCCATGTTTACAGGGGGATGAAATACAAAAGTTTTTCTTTGGAGCACAGCCCGGTTGAGTATCCTTTTCAGCCACTGAAGTGTTGAGGTCAAGTAGTACATGGTCAATATGGAAATCCTTGATGCAACCAACAAAATCCGTGTTTTTAATCAGAAATTTTGATGGCAAACGAGGAAGACCACCAATTTGAAGAGGACCAGCCAAATCCAGAAGACGATGGCAAATTTCTGTCAATTTAGCACATCTGCAAAAAAATACAAAGTACAAATGATAAAACAATAAAAAATCAAATTAACTGACCTGTTTTCTCAAAACACTGATTGAAGAGCTTTTAAATAATCCATCATGACATCACTTTTACAACACAGTATATTGAAATTCAAAATATAACACTCCAGAAAATGCCAGGATGTTGCTAACAATTTGTTATCAACAATAAAACCTTGATTTATTGTGAGAATCCATCGTTAAAGAAATTGTGTCTAGAACCCAAACAGACTTCAACAGAATTTAGAAAGGAAAAAAAGTTCTTCATGTTTCTTGGGATTCAAAGAAAACCTGAATTTCTTGAATCTGGACAAACTGTTACTGTCAGCAATTGACTTGTTTGAATGACATATTTAAAGGGAAAAGACACTTTTCTCAGCTAGGAAGTCAAACACCACCAATACTCATATTGTAAATGGATGAAGGTCATATAAAGTTAGAGAAAATACTTTGATGTCTGATGATGCTATGAACTTATAAGATTAAAAGAACTTGAGAAAAATGTTGGAACCAATATGAAATAAGACACTGTTAATGTCAAGATTGACCAGACACAGTAGAAGAATGAATGAGAGAAATTGAAATGAGATCAAAAAATAAGACAAAACATGAATGCAACATACTGGCTCAAAAGGAATACCAAAATAGATATGATTGGGTGGGAAAGGTTATTTATTGGAAATTGTACAAGCAAATAGACAATCAATGCTAGCCAATATTCAAAACCTGTCCTAGAGAAATAAAAACAAAACATAAAATCTATAGAACTTGAAAATTCTCACACATGACCTAAACAAGAAAAGCAGAACAAGTTTAAGCATCATAATTTAAAAAAGAAAATCTGCCAGAGAAGGAAAAAGAATATTAACGTGAAAGTTGTATCCATTATTATTGGATGCATTATTATTATTATTATCTTTCCTTTGATTTCTGGTGTGTACACATTTCTTTCTGAGTCCCACCCAGAGACCTAAAGTTAGAAATAGCATCATGACATTTCCATTGACCAATTAAAAAAAGAACCAAAACAAAACCACAAACATATTTTACATAGATAAAGCCCTTCGTAAGGTATGAGCTGTACTCATGAGAAGAATTTTTTGTATTTCTTTAAGGCATGGACTCTCAGGGATCACTTTAATTAGTCTACTGGAATCTTTTCCAACCAATCCAAGAGCTCCAACTAAACAGGGATTGTTGATGTTCCCAGGTGCCACATATTATTATTATTATTGTATTATTCATTTTTATTATCTTTATTTTATTTCCTTTGATTTCTGTTGTGTACTCATTTCTTTCTGGGTCTCAACCAGAGACCTAAGGTCAGCAATGGCATCATAACATTTCTTACTGAACAATTTAAAAAAAAAAAATCACACATATTTTACATAGAAAAAGACCTTCATAAGGTGTGGGCTGTACACGTGAGAACAATTTTTGTATTTCTTTAAATCATGGGTTACCAGGAATTCCTTCAATGAGTCTACTGGAATCTTTTCCAATCAATCAGAGGGCTCCAACTATAAATGCAATTGTTGATGTTCTCATGCACCACATTTTGGAGATTTTGATTTCAAGGTCCTTGTATTTTGATAGATTTTTGAAGAACTTTAAAGATACATTGCAGTCTGCAAGGACTGCCATATCAATAAGGATACATTTTTGCCTTTGCAGTCTCTGATCATGATGTCTATGTGAGTAGCTTTGATTGTTCTGTGTGTATTGTAAAGTCCCATAGAACTGTTACAGGTTCTATCTCATCAGATCTGGGTGATATTGTGTCTATTATTATTATTACTATTTTATCCATTATTGTTGGATGCATTTGAAACAATCCTGAAGAACTTCACAAAATGCTTGAAAAATTGGTGAACAAAAAAATCAGCTTGTTTTTCAGTTACATTATCTGAATTTTTTTTTTTATTATACCCAAGTCTACATATAAATGTTGTTTGGGTTTGTGCCTGATTCTATGTGCAAATATTGGCTGCAAGTATCCACCTGGAAGGTTGCTCCTTTTTGTGTGTGAGGGGTCAGTATATTCTAGGCCCTGACGATCAAGTTATGGAAAAATTGAAACTCCAAGAAAGAATCAAAACCATTTTAATGACAGTGTTTCTAAAATCAACTAGAATACATAGAAGATTGGAGTAGTAAACTTGACTTATTGTTACTTGATATCTGATGAAAATCATCAGTTACTATTGGTGTGAAAGCTTGTATATGTGAGGAAGACAAAAGTTTGAAAAGAAATAGTACAAGAGAATAAAGGAAGAAGACTGAGAAAGAAAAAGAAAGGAAATAATGAAAGTGGCAGATTTGGTAAGAGAGATAATGAGAAAGAAATGGTAAGAGAAAGAAAGAACAAGAAGAAAATAGAGAGAGTGAAAGGAGAGTGAAGGAAAAGACAAGCTGCAAAAGGATAAAAGAGATACACTGTCAGAGAGAGAGAGAAGAATCAGGAGAAACAATTCTATGGATTTGTTCAAAGAAATGAGAGAATAAAGGAATCATCTTACCTGTCATCCAGAATCATTGTGGCTCTGTTGGCACACCTGTAATTGTCAAACAGGTGTCGATAGTGAATGGCCACACCTGTATCGCAATCAGTACCAATACTGACAGTGGCAGTCTGCAATTAAGAAAGGAAGATTTAAAAACAGAAATAAATTTACACCTGCAATTACAAGTATTCATAGCCAGTCATTCATTTTAACATTTTGTGCTCTGATCATTTAAGAATAAAAGCAAGAACCATTCAAATTTGCTTTAAAAACAAAAAATAAACTTCTTTTATGTACTGAAGGAAGTAGATGATCATGTCTCTCCACAACTTCCTATCCTTTGTAGCACTAAGCAATTTTTCTCTTCTTGCTATTTTCCTACTCTCTGTACTGCCATTCATTTATACATGGTCATCAAGTAGGTCACTGTTCCCTGCCCCAATTGTTTTCAGTGTGCCCTGTGAGTATCAATTTTCCAAGCGATCTTTCCAAATTATGTGACCCAGAAATTTCAATTTTATAAATGTCCTTTGTTGCTTCAAGTCTTTTCTTCATCAGTGAAGAAATTGTCTAGCATTTACTGCCATATTGAAGGACTGATATTACATTAGAAGTTCAGCACTCTTGTCTTTGGCTTTAACAACATTTTCCTGTTTCTTAATATTACATTTAGTTTTTGAAAAGATTCTTTTGTTATTTCAGTGTGCCTTTGGATTTTGGCATTGCATCATCTGTTGAAACAATTCCAGACAATTAAACTTCTGTACTTGGTTCATTCTGACATCATAAATTCATAAAGTGCCTCTTTGACTGTTTAAAATAATAACCAACATTGCAATGTATGTGTGTGTGTGTGTGTGTGTATATATATATATATATATATATATATATATATATATATATATATATATATATATAATTCAACCAAACAATTATAAAGATGTTTAGCAAGAACCCACTCAATGCTAGGCATCACCTCCCACCCCCCTGCCAACCTACACACCTAACATTCTCTGGCAGACATAATTCATCACCTCAACAAGGGAACATCACCAATAATACCTCTCCCATGCCAAGTCTGTAAGTATATCATAACTGATAGTATTTTCACCCCACCTCGGTACTCACACTGGCTCTGACTTGTGACAGTTCAAATCTTATATATTTACTTTTATGTCACAAATGCAAAAAAGGGAATTATGTTGGAGAAACAGGCATGGAATTCTGTCTTTAGTTCAATAATCATAAAAAAAACATTAAAGACTAGAACAATTTCCCTATTGCTACACACATCAACCAACCATTGCCTAGCATTGGTGACATCAGATGCATGCTTTTAGCATCATCATTTAAAAGCTGACAAGATGCAGATTGGAGTTGAAATACATCTTCAAAATATAATCACATATTAAAGGATTAAACATGAATTTGGGTTTACTCAGAGAATATAATTTCCAGAGTGAACTCTCTAACCAACAACAACAACATTCCTTGGAAGAGTAAGTCCCATGTCTTTGTTTATTTCTTGTCTCATTGGAAAAGGACACAGGTGTGTCTGAAAATTCAGACTTTAAAATCTTTCTCTTTGTGCTTCAATTTAGTTAAATATCATCAATCTTATTTCCAATATTGTTATCATTTTGTTGGCTTTTTATTCTTCAAATTTGATTAACCAGCCTATTAAATCTATACATTATAAGAAGCACACATGGACCATTTTTCATTATATAGTGTGGGGGAAAATAAATATTCGTACACCACAAAACTTTTTACTTACAATATTTCTACACCATTACATGATGCTGCAATATGCAAAAAACAATTAGAAAACTTTGTTATAAATGAAATTATGCGTTATTTATGAAATTTCGAAAAGAAAAAAGTATTCGTACAAAATATGTTTTTCATATCAAAAGGCTTAAATTATCTTTATTTACATAATTCTTTGTAAGAATTTGCTAGATTCTTCCAATTATCTTATTACTGGAACAATCTAGAACATTCTCCAATTCATTTCTTTTATAAGCTTATCTCTGCACACAAATCATACACAATAATTATTATTGTGTGGAAAAGCAAGGAACTATCAAATTCACAAAAAGAATTGATCATCAAACATTGGAAGGAAGACAAAAGTTATAGAAAAATAACAGATATCCTGAATATACCATTTACTACTATTAGTTCCATTATTTCTAAGTATAAAAAGGTGAAAGCTGTTAAGAACAAGTCGAGATCTGTTGCACCACCAAAGATTTCTCCCAAATCAATGAGAAGAATTCAGTGCAAAATTCAAGAAACTCCAATGACTATTCAAAGAGAAATCCAAGAAGAATTAAAAGCATCAGGTATTTTTGTTACGAAGCAAACAATAAGCAATGAAATTCATAGAAGTCAATTAAGATCGTATTCTCCAAGAAAAAACCCACTACTATTGAAGAAACATAGGAATGCTCAGTTAAAATTTGTTCATGAGCATAAGAATAAACCTGAATCATTTTGGGAAAATGTTTTATGGATGGATGACAAAAATCGAACTATTCAGGTGTAATACAAGGACTTGTGTTTAGAGAAAAAACGGCACAACCTTTGCACTGAAGAACAAAATCTCAATGGTGAAATTTGATCTTGGCATTATCATGGTTTGGGAATGTTTTTCTGCCAATGGAACAGGTAATTTAGAGATAATAGATGATAGAATGAATTCAAAACTATACCAAGATGTTTTGGACTAATTAGTTTGGGTCAGTAGTAAAGCTTGGACAGTAGTAAAGCTTCATAAAATGAATGGGTTTTGCAACAAGATAATAACCCTAAACATACAAAAAAATGGCTTATTGAAAACAATGTCAATACACTTGAATGGCCATCAGTCACCAGACTTGAATCCAATAGAGAAGTGTTTATTAAAAATTCAAGTTAATAAAAGAGATCTGAAAAACACCTTGTACCTAAAGAGAATATGCAAAGATGAATGGAGTAAAATACTGACAGAAACTTGCAAATGATTGATTAAAAGCTACAGAAAGAGACTGATTGATGTTGAATTGAGTAAGGGATTCACTACAAAGTATTAAATAGGTATTATAATGTTGTATGTTTTATAGTGGAACAACCTATCACACCTTGACAGTGATTGGTCAGTCTAAAGAGACGTGAATGAGGAAAAAATAAAAGACATGACGAAGTATGGTAGTAAGGCAGGTATCAGTATGAATGTCCGTGACGTATCTCCTGTTTTCCTTATTATTAAGAACTCTTACTCACTGTACTTTCCGTACAATAAAATCCACATTATTTGTTTTACCTAATTCCTGTGTTTAGCGTAATCTTTCCACTCAGAATTACCTAGTTGCTTATATCGTATTATCCACAATATAACAGTATGAATACTTTTTTCAACTCAAAATTTTTTAATTTCATTAATTAAACAAATTTTTTTGAATTTCTTTTTCATATTGCAGCATTATTCCATGGTATACAAATATTATATGGATTATAAAATTCTTTTATAAAATCTATGTTAAATAAAAAAAAAATTCATGGTGTACAAATATTTCTTTTCACCCACTGTTTGTGTATATATATATATATATATATATATATATATATATACACACACACACACACACAAACAGGGTAAAGCTGACTTTACCCTGAAGATCCATTTAGGTGAAACCTAGGTATATATATATATATATATAAAAATCCATATGCATTTTTATATCTGACATTATTTCTTATTAGTAGAAACATTATTTTTAGTACATTTGTTTCAGTTGATATGCCTTTTTTATTTTCTTTAAATGGTAAATTTCTTAAACAGGGATATATATATATATATATATATATAAGAGGTGCATTCAAAAAGGATACAACTTTATCTTTTCATGCTGAAACTAATGCCATTTGGGAAAATTCCTTTTGGTAGAAGATGGTACCACCCTTCCTGCACATGTGTGAAAATTTTTCTCCCAGTAGGCCAGGTCAGTTGTCAGCTGTTACACCTCGAGTAAAGATGTGTAGTGTGTGCTCGTTGGATTTTTGTTTTCACTCAAGATGAGCAAATGCATCAAGCAGACATATTGCATCAAGTTTTAGCAAAAACTTGGTGATACTCAAGCTTAAACCATCCAGAAGATTCAGCAGGCCTTTGACAATAATTCCATGTGAAAAACTCAAATCAAGGAGTGGTACAACGGCTTCAAATATGGCCACACCTCAGTCAAGAGCAAGGCCATCCGGCAGGCCATCCACAAACCAAATGATGAGCCAGTTGAGGAGGTTCGTCAAATAGTCATGGGAGACCATCGTGTAACAATTCAGGAGATTGCTCACAAAGTAGTAATGAGCACAGAATCAGTGAACTCCATTTTAATGGAGGATTTGTGCATGCAGAGAGAGTCAGCAAAATTCGCCCACTCATTCTGCCCATATAATCCAAGCTTTCCTAATCAAAAGCAACATACCACTTTTGTTCAACAAGCTCTCTACTCTCCAGACTTGGCACCATTTGACTTCTGGCTCTTTCCCAATCTAATCTGAAAATCATGATGAAAGGAAAGTGATTTGAGTCATGAGTGGAAATTATAAGAAAAGCGATGACAGAGCTCAATACCATTCCAGAGTTGTTACCAGCATTAATTTTTCTTATGTTTTTCGATGTTAAATATTCTTGATATGTGTTTGTATATGTATATGTGTACATATGCATATACTTATTCCTTATAATAAGACAGTATGTATGTATGGAGAGGGAATATATGTATACATTTGCATGCTGACAAAAACACAAAAATATGGAAATAGATCAGAACACACAGGGGTCATTAAAAGATAAAAATACAGATATCTTTCTCACCCTTTCTCAGACCAATCTTAATTGTTTTATTACTCTTCATGCAGAACTTTTTCACTGCCAGTTCAAAGAAGACATTTGGGTCACTAACACACAAAAAAGAGAATGTCTAATATCGAGAATATATAACATTGAAAAACATAAGAAACATTAATTCCTTTTAATAATATGTGGAAATATCCACTCTTTGCCTGATGACGGTCATGAGACCAGAAACACGTGTAGCAAAATTATGGAAAATAAGGCATAATATATTTTTTAAAAAATCCA